ACAAAAATATATCAAAATGAGTTGTTATGGCAGATAACACACCAAGTTTGCAATGCATTGTGGGAATACAGTAATGCAAATGTTTTTACAAATATTCTAAAAAGCAAATATTTTTTAATTATTTAACTGTGATGCACTAGCTCCATACCTAAAATATTTAATTTTTATTCCTTTATCTTTAGGAGCCCTATAAGCAAGTTTTTTGCAATATAACAATTTAAAAAAAAAACTTATGATGTTATAATGATAATAGCCATTTGTGAAAGCTTCAGTCAAGAGCTACTCTATGAAAGTAGTTTGGACGGCAGTGCCCCTCATTTCAACGTGTGCTGTAAGGATAAATTAATAGAAACATTGTTAAATAAAGGCATTTTTTTGAAATTAATTAACTAAATTAGTTTATAAACACTATTTAAATAAGTATTGAAATACTTGACTTTTATATAAAATATGTCTGCCATAATCTAAATACTCAGTCGATCTATGTCAGAATCCCAAAAGGTCTCCGGCTTTATATCTCTATTTTTTTTAGGTCTGTAGTGTCCAGAAGCTCTAAACATGTTTGCTGACTTATAAACTGCCATGAGAAAAAAATTCATGAGATTTAAGGACTTGGAACATATTGTTTTCAAGTCCTGGAGTCCTGGAGTCCTTGCTACCATTATACCTAAGGACCCCGGGTTTAAGAAATGATTGTTCCTCATATCTAAAAGTATTATTTTTTTATTTTTAAAAGTATTTTTTTTTTCCTATTATAAGTCCATAAACTTTTTTATATTTTTAGACCTACTGGATACCAAAAACTAGGAAGAAGTAATCTTTTTGTGACTATTAAATCTGGAGTCCTTTTTGGGACTCCGCATCCCTGATAAATGTACACTCCAATGAGACTATGGCAACAGTCAATTCATCGAGTTCGCATCTATGCACTTTTTCTATAAAGCTTGAAAAACAAAAATAAAAAATGATAAACAACAATAATAGTTAAAAAAAAACAAAAACTACTTCTAAAATAAACGTAAAAAAAAAATTAATATTAAAAAAAAAAAGGTTTTCTATAAGGCTTTGAACCCACAATCTTGTCAGCCACTCTTCAAAAATTTACTTTGTAAAATTCATAGCATTCACCACTGATTTCCTTAATTGAAAAGTTAAAATATTGAAACATTTGTTGCATCCAAATAATGTTTATTTTATGTATAAGTGCACATTATCTATGATTTTTAAAAATAGTTATGTTTTTTTTTATTTTAAATTTTTTAATATTTTTTCTTTGGTATTTTAGATATTTTTTACATGATAAGCGTCGCTGTTCTGAGAACATTGTGGTGGCACCTATTGGTAAATTAGCTGTTGTTAATGATGCATTTAATAGAATCTTGCTTTTTGATACACATAGTGGATTGGTAATTAGAATGTGGAAAGGTAAATTTTTTTCTAAATTTTAAATAAATTTTATTTTAAAATTGTTTCTAATTTACTTGATTCACCTAAGCAAATAGTAGAATAAAATCTTAAATTTATATCATAAGTTTTAATTTATATCAAAATCATAAGTTTTCTTTGTTATAGTTAGAATGTAACTATAATGTAAATTTTTTTTAAATTTTGCTGTCAAGAAGTTATTAAATATTACACACATTTAAAATCTCAAAAAATTATCCTTTTTTCCGTGATTGCAGAGGTTGGGCAGTTTTCAATGATGATTTTAACATCTCATTTCTTATGATTGCACAGTCGGGTGGCTCTTAAAAAAAGATTTTTTGAAAATGTCTGCTCCTAAACCCTAAACATTTTCTATATTGGATTTAAAATATTTTTTTAATGAAAATTTTTTTTAGGGGTCGTTAAGAATTCTTAAATATTAGAAAGGTCTGTAATAATATTTGAAATATTTTTTGTTTCGAAGTCATGTTGAGTCTCAAAAGAAGCGAAATAAAATTAAAAAATTTTTTTTAGTTAATTATTTTATAAAAAATACTTAAAAATATTGTTATCAAAAGGTCATATGTGTGAAACGGCGCACCTTATTTTTGTATTAGTATAATATTAATACAAAGTAGTAATGTAATAATACTAACAGTATTATACTAATACTAATTGTCATTAGTATTAGTATAATACTAACAATACTAATAATACACTTATAATTAAAATGTAATACTATTATACTATTAAGTTATTACAAGCATATTAATAATTGTATATTATTAATTGTATATATTATTTTTTATTTTATTTTACTTTGTGAATTGTGCATTCCTATAAGGAAGTCATTATTTGTACGTGAATACTAATAATATTTATATTAATGAAAATCTAACACATGTACACAAAAAAATATTAAAGTACTTTAATTTTATAACGACGTAATAGTTTTTAATTTTAATAGTTTTAATTTTATAACGACGTAATAGTACTTCTCTAGATGTGAAAAATGTCATTTTTTGAGGTGCGATCGACATTGTTAAAGGTTCAAATCTTTATTTGGGATTTTTTCTTTTTAATTTTAATGTCTAAGTAATTTTATTCAGTTTTAATTATTAAGTAGTTATATTTTTTTTAAATATAATTGTTGTTTATATATAGTTAAGTTCGTTATTTATTTTTAGTTCTCAAAGTTTCATTAAATAAGTGCAAATTGCGTACATAAATCGACTGATTTAGATGTAGTCGCATCATTTTTATAATGACTTACATGTTGATTATTTTTATGAAACTTACATGTTGTTCAATTGATAAATAAAAATTGCTGCTAGATTTTTAATCATTAGACTCAAAACGTCAAAAATATTACCTTGAACCTATTCAAGGTAATATTTTTATATAATATAAAAATATTACCTCAGAAAATTTTGTTAAAATATGATTTTAATTTGTAAATTTTCATGATTTAAAATTTGCTTTATTAGTCTCAAGAACCTTAAACATTTAATGGATCCCCAATATCATCAATATTTCTGATATAATTCATGTCTGGTCTCAAATAAAATAAAATTATACAAAAATTTGAAATATATTAGTCATTTATATATAAATATATATATATATATATATATATATATATACATATATATATATATATATATATATATATATATATATATATATATATATATATATATATATATATATATATATATATATATATATATATATATATATATATATATATATTAGGGTGATGCAAAAAACAACTTTTTTAAAAATAGTCTCCTGATCTTAACTAAATGTGTTCTATATAATACAAAAACACTAGGTTTAATTATAAGTGCCTCAAGAACCTTAAACATTTAATGGATCCCCAATATCATCAATATTTCTGATATAATTCATGTCTGGTCTCAAATAAAATAAAATTATACAAAAATTTGAAATATATTAGTCATTTATATATATATATATATATATATATATATATATATATATATATATATATATATATATATATATATATATATATATATATATTAGGGTGATGCAAAAAACAACTTTTTTAAAAATAGTCTCCTGCTCTTAACTAAATGTGTTCTATATAATACAAAAACACTAGGTTTAAAGTTTTTTTTAATAAAAAATATTTTTAGGGGTGCCTCAAGACCCTTAAATATTTGACAGGTCCCTAATATTTTGAAAAAAAAAGTTTTTTTAAAGTATGTCAACCTGGTACTCAAAAAAAGCAAAATTATATAAAAACTTCAAAAATAATGATCAATTTATATAAAAATATTTTTTTTAGATAAAATTACATAAAAACTATTGTTTTTAAGTATATATAGATAGTATATATAGATAGTATTAATAAAAATGTCAATATTTTCAAGTTTTTTTTTTAATAATTTATTAAAACTTGTTTTTTTATGTAAATTGATTATTATTTTTCAAGTTTTTATATAATTTCGCTTCTTTTGAGTACCAGGTTGACATACTTTAGAAAAACTATTTTTTTCAACATATTAGGGACCCATCAAATTTTTAAGGGTCATGAGGCACCCCTCAAAATATTTTTTGTTCAAAAAAATTTTAAACCTAATATTTTATATATATATATATATATATATATATATATATATATATATATATATATATATATATATATATATATATATATATATATATATATATATATATATATATATATATATATATATATATATATATATACAAATATATATACATATATGTAAATATCTATGTATATAAATTTAAAATATAGTAAAAAGTGATTCTCTATAAATGCTTAATTAATCAAATCAAATTTAATTTATCAAAATAATAAAAACTTAATCAAGATTTCATGACTAATTATTATTTAGATAAATAATTCTCTATATTTTTATAGTCACGTCTTATATTTTTGCTGTACCACATTATGGCAGACGCTGGCTTCACTAAGCTATACCATGGAAGTATAAAACAGATGGAAGTTCATCGAGCCGCAAACATCAAAGCAATTTTAAGTCGTCTCTGGAGTATGCTCGTAACCAACATTAAAAAAAACAAATAAGTTTCACTGGACAAAAAACAAAAAAATTCACTGAAATGATTTTTATTAAAACATTAAAAAATGAATTATTCTAGGGATAAGCTGCAAGGTTTTAACCATTAGTGTTTGCAATTATTCAGAAAAAAGTTTATTAAAACTCGGTAATTAAATAGAAACACCTGATTTTAAAAGCATATGTTAGTTTAAGTCATAACATGACATGTGTTATGACTTAAACTAACGAGATGACGGCCGTGTTTTTCTAACCTTTGGAAAGGAAAAAGGAAATAAAGAAAGGCAACTAAAAACTGAGTTAATTACCAATTGTTTCAAATAAAGAATTCAAAATTATCAAAATAAAAGAAGAGTAAAACAAAAAACATATAAAAAAAAGAAACTTTTAACAAATAAACACTTAAAAACAACATTTAAAAAAAACAAATAAAAGAAAACTCAAACATTGATTTTTACTTAACAAAAAAAGAAAAAGAAAAGAAAGAAAAATAGTTAAAAAAAAAGAAGAGATAAGTTGATAAGTTAATAAGAAGATCAGAAGAGAAGATCATTTTCTTAAAAGAGTAGATAGTTTTTATAGTTTTTATTTGTTTCTATTATTTTTTTTCTTATTTTAAATATTACACTTTTTTTTTTTTTTTTATATTATTACAATTTGTTATTAGATTGTTTATTTTGATATATAATATTGAATATTTATTTTTATTATTGTTATTATATTTTTTAATTTACATTTCTCTTAACTTTAATTAGTTTTTTTACTCTTTTAGTCTGATTTTATAATTTTCTTCAAAGTTTTTGTTTTTGTTATAGTTTACTGTTTGTTTGTTATTGTTTAACTACTATTAATATTATTTATTATAATTGTTAGTTTTTCGATACTTTAATTGGTTGTTCTTAATAATTTATTCATATGCATTATTTTATTTTAACAATTATTAATAACAAATACATATAGCTATTTACTTCCTATTTATTGTTACTTATTGTTTCTTACATTCTCTCTAATATTGCGGTTCCACTATGGCTTTAAACTGTCATTTGTATAAAAAATTAGTTAGTCAAAGTTGTCGCTCATCTCAATGTAATATTTGTTTATTTTGGTCTCATACAAAATGTGACAGGCTTAATTATACTAAGTACAGTTTACTACAATTAAGTCGCTCGTTGTGGAGTTGTTTAAACTGTATTAAAAGTGTCTTTCCATTCATAGATGTACAAGATAATGAATTTAAATTGCTATTTTTTTCTGATATAATTCTTAAAACTGATGATTTACCTCTGTCTACAAACCTTTCCCCATCTTTTCATTTAAATAAAGTCTCTAATCAAATTAATAATTATGTTTCATCTCGTGTTTTAGATTCTGAGGAACAAATTTCTTCTTCATTAGACATAGTTTATAAATATTATGACATAAGCGAATTATGTACACTTAATTTTAATAAAATAAGCGCTCTCTCCTTTTTTCATCTAAATATATCATTGTTACAAAAACACTTTGAGGATTTAAACATAATATTCATATCATTATTTAATTTAAACATAATATATATCATTAATTAATTTTGATTTTTCCATTGGTATAACTGAAACAAGATTAAAAAAAGGACATTCTTAATTCATCCAATTCTCATTAATAATTACAACATTGAGCAGACAGAATCCTCTTGTAGCGGTACATTATTATGTTTATCAAAAAAACTAATGTACAAACGAAGAGATGATTTATACACCTAATTGTTTAGAATCCACTTATGTTGAAGTTATTTTTTCTAAAAAATCTAATATTATTGTTGGTTGCATTTATAGACATTCTTGCATGGATACTAACATTTTTAATAATATCATGTCTGTCTTACTTCAAAAAATGTCTTCTGAAAATAAATCTGTTTTCTTACTTGGTGATTATAATATTGATCAGATGCAATCAATTAATGGCATTGTGACATCTGATTTTTTAAACTTATTTTCTTTTTATAATATTCACCCTTTTATTACTTTGCCGACTAGAATTACTGATCACTCTGGTACAATTATTGATAATATTTTCTCTAGTTTAATAGCTTATGAAATTGTTTCAGGAAATTTGACAAATTCTGTTTCTAATCACTTACCTCAATTTTGTATTTGTTCCAAATTCAATAAATTATTTATACCACTCAGACACAATTTATTTAGCCGGATTTTTAAAAACTTTAATAAAGAAAAATTTAAATCCGATTTACCAAAAATTGAATGGGAAAATATTACAAAGTCCAATGATACTAACACATGTTTCCAAACGTTTATTACTGAAACAACATTGATTTTAGATCACTACGCCCTGCTTAAAAAAATAAGTATCAAAAACTTCAAACGTCGATTCAAACCATTGCTTACAAAAGGAATTACAAAATCTATTCAATGCAATCTTTTCCAAAAAAAAATGTTAAGATCTAAAGATCTAATTAATAAAAAAAAAATTGAAAGTATTTTTAAAAGATGTAAATATATAATAGTTACATTAATTAAACTTAGCAAAAAAAGTCATTTTAAAATATTTTTATCAGAAAATGTAAAAAATCTTCGCAAACTTTGGAAAGGTATTAACACTCTAATAAATGTAAAAAATTTGAATAAATCATCTCTCAATTGTTTGCAAGAAAATGATACATATATAACTGACCCGACTTTAATCTCTGAATCATTTAATACTTTTTTTACAAATGTTGCTAATAAACTCAAATCCAGTATTCATTCATCTTACATTAACTATCAAAAATATCTTAAACATCCAAATTTACATAGTTTATTATTATCTCAAATAAATATTTCTTAAATTTCATCTCTTATATCTTAATTGAATCCAAAAACATCATTAGGTCCAAACAGCATTCCCACAAATATTCTTATAGATTTTAACTATGGTTTTTCAATATATATATTCAAATGTTCTTTCTAAACTATTTAATGCCTCATTTATAAATGGAAAATTTCCTGATATTTTGAAATTATCTTGCGCTATTCCAATATATAAAAATGGCTTTAAACTTTCATGCACTAACTACAGACCTATTTCTCTTTTATCTAACATTAGTAATCTTCTTAAGAAACTTATGTGTTCTAGAGTGTACTCCTTTCTAAACGCATTTAATTGTTTAAATGATTTTCAATTTGGTTTTCGATCAAAACATTCTACTTGCCATGCATTAATCAGTATAACAGAAAAAATCAGGAAAGCTCTTGATACTGGTCATTTCGTTTGTAGTGTTTTTATCGATTTACAAAAAGCTTTCAATACCGTTGGCCATAGTATTTTGATTTCTAAATTAAAACATTATGGAATTCGCGGTATTGTAAATGATTGTTTTCGAGCTTATCTTTCAGATCGAAAACAATTTGTAAGTATTAATGGTTTCAATTCTAGTTATAAATCAGTTTTGTGTGGTGTTCCTCAAGGTTCTGTTCTAGGTCTTCTTTTGTTTTTAATCTACGTTAACGACCTAATCAACTCTGTTCACTTCTCTTCAGTCCATCTGTTTGGTGATGATACAAATCTCTTGCACACCAACAAATCATATCATTCTTTATGTAAAAATGTTAATTTGGATCTAAAAGGTAGAGTTCACTGGTTAAATGCTAACCTAATATGTCTTAACACAGAAAAAACTGAACTAATTTTTTTTTTCATCTCTAAGAAAAAACAATTTCTTTAAAAATGTTGAAATCAAAATCAAAATTAATAATAAATGGCTAGATCCTCCAAGAGTTATAATATATCTTGGTGTATTAATTGATTGTAATCTTTCATGGAACTTTCATATTGATGAACTAAGCAAGAAAATCGAGCTAACGGTATGCTTTTAATAATTTGTCATTATGATAAAGTTACACTTAGGGGGTATTTACTATGCATTATTCTCATCTCATCTTAGCTATTGTTGTCAAGTTTGGGGTCAAGTTTCAAACTATCGCATTAGCAAGTTGCTATCGTCTCAGCGTCAATCCATTAGATTGATAAACTTCCAATCAATTAAATCAGATACATCGAAGTCCTTCAAAAAACATTTCATTCACACATTTCCAGCGCTAGTAAAGTATGCTAATCTTCTTTTTGTTTTTGACTCCTTAAGTAAAAACATACCATCTCCTATCACAAACTTGTTCACAGAAAGTAGACTACTACATTCCTACTTAACTAGAAATATACACAATGGAAAACTAAATGTACCATCTTTTAAAACCCAGAAGTATGGTAAACATTCTATTGTTTATCAGTGCGTCTGTGAATGCAACAGGAGCCTTGCATGCATTTTGAATGAGTCCAAAAAAATATATCCTAAAATACCTTTACTCAATCTTATACAATATCAATTTAAAAAAATTCTGAAAAACTTTTTATTCTAACTTTTTGGCATTATTATCCGTATGATTTAAATATTGTTTTAGTTTTCTTTTGGTAATTACTACAATTATCATCAGCACTTTTTGTTTATTTTTTTAAATTTTTTTTATTAGTAAAACCTGCAAATTGATTTCTACATGTTTGTTTTGATGTATATTTTATGTGCTTTGGTTTGTGTGTTTACGGCCCATGTGTTTTAGTGTGTGTCTTTGCTTATTATTACTTATATTATATTAAAAATTGGTGTCACTCCTTTGATCAGATTTCTGTATGAGTGACACCATCCAAATAAATCATTAACTTATTATTATATTAATATTAGTTATTATTTATTATATAATAGTAATTATTATTATAATTAATATTAGTTATTATTTATTATATAATTATTATTTTTTCGTTGTAATTATTGTAAACATACTTATTATTACTATTACTATAATTTGTATAACTATTTTTTTTTATCTTATGTTATTATTATATATTTTTGCTATTATTACTATTATTATTATTATCATTATTATCAAAACTATTGTAAAATGATTTACGGAAAATAAATAGTTTGTTGTTATTGTTGTTGATTAAAAAAACAACTAAAACAGTTTTTAAAAAATCAAAAAAATTGTTTTCTTAATAACTAAAGTTTATAGTCTATGACAGCTCTATTTCATAATTCCATTTATTCTTGTAGTACTCCATCCAATTAATATGAAGTTTATAAAAAAGTTGTTGTTTGGGGTTTAGTTGCGCCATTTATAATGTTTTTCTTGAATATTATTGGCGAACCTTCAAAATACTATAATTTTAAATTATTATAAACGTACCTATTTGCGTCAACGCAAATAGGTACGTTTATAAAGATTAAGCGTTTAAGTACAGTTTTCATGTCGTTTTCTTTTTGTTTACAAAACAAAAGGTTACAAGCATAGTCCCGAAGAATTTCAATGCGGTTGAACTTCCATCTGTTTTATACTTCCATGGTTATACGCAAAAAGCTGCGACTCAAGCATCTAGTCATATTTATAGGTCATTGGATAGAACTCTAACCACTGCGCCACGGCCGCTTATAAGTGGATCATGAGTAGTGAACCCTATAAATTTAATGGATCTTTTAATGGATCCCCAATATCATCAATATTTCAAACATAATTCATGTCTGGTTCTAAAATAAAATAAAATTATACAGAAATTTGAAATATATTAGTCATTTATATATAATATATATATATATATATATATATATATATATATATATATATATATATATATATATATATATATATATATATATATATATATATATATATATATAAATATATTAGTCATTTATATATATATATATATATATATATATTAGTCATTTATATATATATATATATATATATATATATATATATATATATATATATATATATATATATAATATATATATATATATATATATATATATATATATATATGTATATATATGTATGTATGTATGTATGTATATAAATTGAAAATATAGTAAAAATTAATTCTCTATATATACTTAATCAAATCAAATATAATTTATCAAAATAATAAAAACTTAATCAAAATTTCATGGCTAATTATTATTTAGATAAATAATTCCCAATGTTTTTAAAGTTGCGTCTTATGTTTTTGCCGAAGCGCATTATGGTGGATGCTGGCTTCACTAAGTTATATGCAAAAAGCTGCAAGTCACACATCTAGTTATATTTATACGTCATTGTACCACCCTAATATAGTTTTTTAAGCTATATAATATAAAAGTATAATCTATTTTTTTTATTAATGTAATTAAGCTGTACTTAACCCTTGAGTTAGCTTTAGTTGTTTGAATTGAATGTAAACGTTTTTGTTAAATTCTTTAACTTTTCTTTTTCAGCATGGCTGCATTATTAAATGCTTTACTCAGGTTATTTAAAACACAATACATCTATAACATTTGAATTTAAAGGTTATATTGAAAAATTTTAATTATAAGGTTATCGTGATGCTGAGTGTGGCTGGATAGTTGTTGAAGAGGAACTTGACGATTCTAAACAATCTTTATGCAAAAAATCTCTTTTTCTTGTTATTTATGCTCCAAAACGTGGAATTTTAGAGGTAAATAAATTTTGAGCTGTCATTTCAAGATTTTTGAATTTTTAATTATTTTTTATTTATTTGTACTATTTATTTATTATTACTTATATAAAATATATTTATATTAGTTTTTTCAATATTTATAAATTATTAGAATCATAAAAGCAGTCTTAATTAAAAGATTTTTAATTTTTTATAATAACGTGTGAGCTCTGCATGAAACATTATTTGTCATTTGCAGTGGCTTCAATACACACTTTATTAAGGGTTTGTGTTTGGGCTGTGTCTAAATTTAAAGGGCTTTTTTTTTAATTTTTTTTAAATTTAATTTTCTGTGTTTCTTTGAATAAATAACTGTCTGGATTTAAAACTCAAAATATATAAGATTATTTAGACAGTGCCTAAATCCATGAAAATAAGTTTTTAAATGTATATATATATATATATATATATATATATATATATATATATATATATATATATAAATTATGTTAGTGTATTCTACAAATAGAGTGCTCAATATTCTTAAAGCTAGTGATTTTGCCGGTTATCCGTTTCAAAAACCGGATAACAGTTCTCATCAATTTGCGGTTAACCGACTATTTGGTAAATTAGTGACGCTTTCTGAATACAGGATCTTCTAAATTTTAACGAACATAGCGTTTTAAACTAATTTTTTAAAAATTAATGTTAGTGAATACAGTTCTATATTAAATATTTATAACAAACCATGGAAAAAGATATATATTTTTTTTATATTATAATATAATATACCTTTTTAATTATATAATTAAAAAAGGTAGGAATAATGTACAAATGTTTTAATATCAGCGGATGTTTTAAATGTTTTAATATCAACGATGTTTTAAATATTTTAATATCATGATGTTTTAAATGTTTTAATATCATGATGTTTTAAATGTTTTAATATCAGTTTAAATTATATAACTATTTTTTAATATCAGCGGATGTTTTAAAATCATTCTCTCATATAAAAACATTTGATTTGGAAAAATGAGATGTTATGAAGTAAATTTTTTTAGCATATATTTTAAAAACTTATTGTTATGCAGACATAGATGAAAGCATAGATAAACTTGAATGTTCTCAAAACAACTTGCGTAAAGATAATATAAAGAATATTATGCTTACACTAAAATACCACCAAATCTACGATTAAACAAATTCTATTGGTTCAAAAAATACGCTGAATAAGCGAATTGGAGTTCCAGAATATTCTGAAGAAACTTTCTTAAAAATGTATTGCTTGAGTTGTAAAAGTAATAAATAAATCTTTGAGATTTCTATTGTAAATTGTTTTAAGAATATATTATCAAACAAAACTGATTAAACTAACATTTAAATTAATAAAAGAAATATATTATAATCTTTGATAAATTAACATTTGTCAAACAAAAATCGTCATAATTATGATGTTACTTTCTATAAAATTTTGTAAAATTTTATAGAAAGTAACTAAAAAATGAGAATTTTCATATCGGGCTTTAATAAAAACAAATGTTTAGAAAATGAAAATTATATTTATTTTAATTGAAGGTACATCACTTATCTTTAAGAAAAAATTAATGAACATTCGAATGTGGTCCATCATCAGCAGTTCAACATAGTTTTGTCATAATGTTGGAACAGGAACATTGTACAGCATTTATATCGATTTGAAGAATGCATTTTTTGATTCAGGTAATCAATTGTTTGCGATTCTTAGCTCTTCAGTTGTTTACTAACGAACTCAAATATCCAAAGAAATTTTCAATTGGGCAACACTGAGGCAATTTTGTTGGATTGCGGTTTTATGGTGCATATGGGATGTTTTGACTTTCTAAGAAGACTTGTGTTTTTTTGGCATAATGTGATGATGCTTTTTTTTTTTTTTTTTTTTTTTTTAAATTATTCACCTCCCCAAGGCCCGAGGGGGCCACTACAGTCGAGGAGGCTACTCGTTTTTTTTTTTTTTTTTTTTTTTTTTTTTGGTACAACCCTCTCTCAACTCTTTAACTCCGAAACACGAACCTTGACAAGCAAGACCGCTGCGCTGAGAAATTAAGTTGATCCGGCCAAATTAAGTGAATTCCATCTGAATGATATTTTTGAAGAAATTGAATCAATATTTTCTTCAAACATTGATTTTAATTCTTCAAACATTGATTTTCTTCGAATATTGATTTTATTTTCTTCAAACATTGATTGATTTCTTCTTTATTAATAGCTAAACCACTTGGCTTAAACAATGGCTTGGAAAATTCCCTCTCAGATATGGCTATGTACAGTATCACTTTCTGCTCAAACTTGTGTTTATATTTGTATTTTACTTTTTTGTGTTGTAGAACTTTTATCTGCATAATATCAATCATTTCCTGGAACTTCCGTTTTGGAGAGGAGGAAGTAACTTTTGTTATCCAAAACAAAACATTTTCCAGAGTAATTTTGGGTTATCCAGTGGCATTGAGATTTCACGGATGATATTTGTTGCTCAGTGTATTCCAGTGCTCTTGTTTTTTTTTCCGGCAGACTATTGTTTTTTCAATGACTTCAGATATAAGGCTGCGTACACTTGAACTTTACTGCAGCATAACGTTGGCTTATTGAAGCATTTTTGTTGAAAGCATTGTAAAGCAAATGAAGTCCCTTCTTGTTCATTATTTTAGCTGGTCTTCCACTACCATTTTTACGATTGGTTGTTAAGGATGCCAAAATACAGTAAATAGCTAAAACGGGAACATTTTGAATTTTAAAATGATTCACAGTAAACTTTTTTCCAAGATTTTCATACATTTGATAGAACTTTACAATGTGCTTGCATAGTACATCTTGTTTTGACTGCATTTTAAACACAACTGAATGAGCTGATGCAAAACAAAATATATGATAAGATTGTAAACAGAGAGATTATAGTTTCACATAGGAGTACTTTTCTTTTTTTGAATTTTGCAATTTGATTTCAGAGGGTTAAAATTATTCTCATTCTTTAGTCACCCGTTAAATACCGAAAAGAAAGAAAAAAAAATTAAAATTAGATTCTAATTATTTATTTACAATCTTTGTTTTAAATACATGTTATCTATGAAACAAAGTTTCACTTAAAATAGAACTTTTGAAGAAGAAAAAAAAGATTTATTGTTCAAATAATCTTGCTACATAAATATTTTGTATCATAAAGTATTAACAATATCTTGTAATTTTACATCATTAATATTGCTGGTTAGAAGCAAAATATGGTTGAACAATTATAAATTGCTTTAAATATTTTTTCAACATGTTCACACAACGTTACAAGGTTATAATTAAAAGGTTTACATTACACCAAGGTTTCACAATTTATTCTATCAGTAAGCTATAATAACCATCTTTATGCCACCAGTAAGCTATAAAACCATCTGTACAGGATCAGTAAGCTATAATAACCATCTGTACGCCATCAGTAAGCTATAATAACCATCTGTTTACTATCAGTAAGCTATAATAACTATTTGTATGCCATCGGTAAGCTATAATAACCATCTTTATGCCACCAGTAAGCTATAATAACCATATTTACACTTTCAGTAAGCTATAATAACCATCTGTACACCATCAGTAAGCTATTATAACCATCTGTACACCATCAGTAAGCTATAATAACCATCTGAACCCCATCAGTTAGCTGTTATAACTATCTGTACGCCATCAGTAAGCTGTAATAACCATTTGAACCCCATCAGTAAGCTATTATAACTATCTGTACGCCATCAGTAAGCTACGATAACTACCTGTATTCTAATCTGACTCAAAAGTCTTTTTAATTTAAGATTATTTTCAGCAACACAAATAAATAAAAAAAAACTTGTGTGATAAAAACAATAAAAATATAATTAACAGAATAATTAGTTTTTAATTAAATATTTAGATTTATTTAACTGAACATGGAGGAAGAGTTGGTGCTTTTAATGTTGGGAAAGATTGCAGGTAAAATATATTAAAAAAATTGAAATACTTTTTATTTTTCAGTTTATTCTTATTAACTTATTGACTACAACAATCATAAAATTTATTTAGACTAATATATAATGGATATAGTTATCTTGGTCAAACCAACTTTGGTTCAGATTCTGTCTTGAGTAGTTGTAACAAGACAAATCAATGTTTTCTTTTACAAACAGACGGTTTAGTTAAAGCTGTTCATATACCATTTCATTGTGCATTAAGGTTTTACTTTTCTTTATAAAATGTTGTTTGTTTATAATATATTTTTTTATGTATAAATTTTTTAATGGTTAATATATATTAAAATTTGAACTGATTTTTTATTGTAAATGTTATTTATATAAAATTTGCAACTGAAATTTTTTTTCTAGTACTTTTGTTTCCATCGATCTACTGATTGGGGATTTTTCATATTGTCATTTCTCTAATATCTTGAGCTGCTGTCTGCTTTTCTTTATTTTTTCATTTTATCTGTAATGCGCTTATTTGATGTTTTTTTAATTCTATAACTTTCTCTTAAAACTACTAATTCTTTGCATGCACCTAATCATCAAGAAGATTAAAACACTTTGAGAATGTAGAGCCTAAAGATGCACATGATTAGTTATTAGCATGATTAGTTATTAGCATATTTAGATGCACATGATTAGTTATTAGCATGATTAGTTATTAGCATATTTAGATGCACATGATTAGTTATTAGCATGATTAGTTATTAGCATATTTAGATGCACATGATTAGTTATTAGCATGATTAGTTATTAGCATATTTAGATGCACATGATTAGTTATTAGCATGATTAGTTATTAGCATATTTAGATGCACATGATTAGTTATTAGCATGATTAGTTATTAGCATATTTAGATGCACATGATTAGTTATTAGCATGATTAGTTATTAGCATATTTAGATGCACATGATTAGTTATTAGCATGATTAGTTATTAGCATATTTAGATGCACATGATTAGTTATTAGCATGATTAGTTATTAGCATATTTAGATGCACATGATTAGTTATTAGCATGATTAGTTATTAGCATATTTAGATGCACATGATTAGTTATTAGAATTATTATTTTTGGAGTATAAAAATAAGAGAAGAAAATTATTCTACTTTTAATCTAAGAGTTCTTTTTTTATCTTTTAAGTTTACCACACATCCATTAGATAACCATTTTCTCTGTTCTTCACACCAACCTTCATTGCCCATGTTCTACTGCCATACTTCATAAATCTCTGATGCATAAGATCTATAAATTGCTTTTAGAATTGGAAATTTTTTGACGTTGGCACACCTTACTCTAGCTCTTGATTCTAATTTTGAACCACCAGTTTATCTAATTGTATCTCTGAGATAGCTTATCATCGCACTCTATTTTTCTCCAACTATTTGTTTCAATCACTTTTTTAACTTCTCTTTATCCACCAAAGTACATTTTTTATGCTCTAAAAAATATTAGGAACACCTTGTACAATACAACATCTTTTATGAAGCAATTGCTTACAAACAATAGAAAACAATAGAGTTTGCATTTCCAGTGCCAACTTTTATCATATTCATGTTTATTTTGAGCCCATATTTTATTTTTTCATCACTGAATTTCTAGTCTAATTCTTCTTCTGTTGCTACAACTATCATTTATTATCTGCATAGAACAGCATAAGCCTGGTACACCAGCATTGAATATTTTTCAAAAAACTTTAAAAACAATAATAAAAAAAAACAACAAAAAATTGGGTACTTTAATGCATTACTTTAAAACACTTTCTCTAACTTTTTTTTTTCGATTGCTGTTATGATATACTCACTCATAATCATGATAACTGTTACCTGCAATTCTTCAACATCTAAACCCCACTGCATGATCTCTCATTGTAATCTGTTTAAATTTTTTTCAGGCCCAACACACTCCATACACAGATTTTTTTCTTTAAAATATATTCATCAATATTTAAAATATTGATGAATAAATGTTAATGATAATTATACAAAGCTTCTTATTTTGTTGACAATAATTTTTTTTTAAATCTTTATTTAATCTCAAGCACTTTTAATCCATGTTGAAAAAAGTTGTTAATTCAAATCTGAGCTGAAGCCTGGAGCTGAATTACTGTGTAGACTTTATACAAAAGTAGATATAGATATAAACATATATATATATATATATATATATATATATATATATATATATATATATATATATATATATATATATATATATATATATATATATATATATATATATATATATATATATATTAAAATATATAAACAAAGATAAATAAATAACTTTTAATATATATATATATATATATATATATATATATATAAAAATATATAAACAAAGATAAATAAATAACTGAGTAAGTACGAATAGTAACTAGAACAAGATAATTATAATAAATAATAGTTTAAGTATATAAAATAATGTTTATAAAATATATATGTTAATTAGTATATGTTTAATAGTATATAATGATAATTACTATTGATTATATATGTGGGATATATGTATGTGGGATATATATCTATGGGTTATATATATATATATATATATATATATATATATATATATATATATATATATATATATATATATATATATATGTATATATATATATATATATATATATATATATATATACATATATACATGTGTGTGTCATCACTCTCTCTCTCTCTCTCTATATATATATATATATATATATATATATATATATATATATATATATATATATATATATATATATATATATATATATATATATATATAATATAAATTAATTTTTCTTTTCATTTATTTTATTATTATTATTATTATTAGTAGTAGTATATTATCATTTTATTTTTGTTATCATTGTTTGAGTGTGTTTCAAAAAAAATTTTTTTTTTTTTTTTTTTTAATTTTATTTTTTTACTTTTTTCAATTACATAGGATATCTTAGTATCTCTAACAAATAATAAGAACTTTCAACAAAAAACAGTATTTGGAACTGGTTCTAGTTAGACTACTTTACAATTTTTTTTTCTATAGTACAGTTCATAGTATCCAAGCCAAAGATATGCATTTACTTAAAAGAATAGCAAACATAGTTGAAAAAAACTCTCAAATAGGTATTTTTTTTAATGTTTGTTGCTTATAGTATGGTTTAAATGTGGTATTATAATTATATATTTTTTTTGATTTAACAAGTGGTAAATTTTGGTGTTTTACCACTTAAAATAGCATTTTACCACTTGAGCTTACATACTTCCGACATGCAGGAAGTGTACACACACAGGGAAATGTTAAGGTTAGGGTTGGCATTAAGATAGCCTGCTCTAACCCTAAACCTGAGTTGATGTGTGTACACTCCTCACACTCCTTATTTAGGTCAGTTGATATGTGTATACTCCCTGCATCTTTTCCTTATTTAAGTCAGTCAATGTAGGTACACTCCTCGCATCTTCTCCTCGTTCAAGTCAGTTGATGTATGTACACTCCCGGCATCTTCTCTTTATTTAAATTAGTCGATGTATGTACAAAAAGTAGGGAAAAAAAAAAAATAGAAAAATTAACTCAAAAAATTATTATTATTATTATAAAATGGAATAACAACAACAAAATAAACACTTTTTGCTTTGTAATTAGAATTTCAGTTTTTTAAAAACAATTAAACTTAATTTAAATGCTCTTGCTTTAATGTTTAATTGTTGTCGTCATGTAAGATTAAATATTTAAAATATTTTAAATTATTAAGTTAGCTTATTATTAAATTTAATGTTACAATAGTAATAATGATATAATACGTAATAAATATAATATGATGAAAATGATGATGACATTGTATAAAGAAACAACAAACTTTTAAAAAAACAAAAATTCTCAAGGGTGTAAATCATACAAAAATAGCTTATGATTTGACTAATAAATTACATCAAGTAACTTTAATAATATTAAGACAAGAATTTTATAAACGTAGCAATATAGTTTTATAACGATCAATTAATATCACAGTTATAACATTTTATGTTATAATATTTTGTCATAGATATGAAAGAAACTTGCAAGAATCTTGTCAAGGTTTTTAATGAAATTCAAGTTCCTTCAGCCCAACACAAAGTTAGTTGAGTTTATTTAATTATGTTTAAATTTCAATAAAAATTTATACACACTGCTACTGAAATTAATGCTAATTTATACACACTGTTACTGGGAGATGACAAATAAATCATAGCAAATTCTATTAAGCTTGGATGCTGTTTTACGTTTGCTGACCACCACTTGTAATTTATTCACAATTTGTTTTCTTCGCGCTACAGTCTTGTTTGTTAAGTTTGTATTTCCCCCTTGGCCTTGAGGAGGTGAATAACATTTAAAAAAAGAAAAGAAAAAAGGGTCTGCTGTCCAATCAAGGCCAACAGTTTTTACAAAAAATTCAATTTTATTTGCAATTAAACCTCAGCTGATTATTTTTTAAATCTCCTTGTATGGATTGAGGAGTTTAGTGCATTTTGTTGAATGAAGTAGTTGACAAATGCCTCTGAGGAAAAGTAAATACAACCTACTAGAAATTCTTCTAAGAGTAATTTTAATTGTAAGTTAAACCTAGTTTAATTTAACTCAAGTTAACCTAAGTTGTTTGGATTGTTTGCATTCTAGTTTTTTATTTAGCTGCAAATTGTCTAGTTCATTTGGCATCACTCCATTCCAAACAAAAATTGCTTAACCACCTTTATAATTGATTTGATCTTACCAAAGTAGTTTTGATTGTAGTATATAATAGAAGTAGAATTGAACCAAGTTTCAGTTATGGAGATTAAGTTGTGGAGATTAAGTTATGGAGATTAAGTTGTATTTATTTTTCTTTTGGTTAATAGTTTTAGGACAGTAATTTTTACTCGATTGGGTGAAGTTGCATTTGTGTAGAAGCAATGGAAAGATGTTTAATTTTTCTGATGGTGCTGTTTTGTGTTTGATGCCTATGTATGCGCTGGATGTTGATATTTACTGTTTTTTAGGATAACTTTTTTTTTTTAAGTATGTCATTGTATTTTTTCCTGTTTTTTATTTATTTTGTTGAAAGTTGAGGTTTAACCATAATTTTCTATACTTGAACCAGCTGTATTTGAAAAAAATATAGTACCTAAAATGAACAGCATTAACAATGAAAGAGTAAATAGTGTTTACAAGTGATTTCGTTTTTGGTATTATTTAACATATTTACTAAATAACACCTGACCGAGTCATTGAAATTTATTGTTTTTGTATTAATTTTTCTATTATATAAATTATAATTTTATATCAAAGTATATGAACTATGCTTATCTGGTTATATGTTATAAATTATTGGTATATGTAAGTCAAATATCAAAATATGACTTAAATATAATGCATATATTATATGTATTGAGTTTGTTGTTATTATTGCTTGATGATTTTAACTTTAACTTCTTGTAATTCAAGCATTTTTTTTTTAAATACAGCTTGTAATTTAATATGCGGTAGTGGTGTAGTAGTAGAACACTTGCTTCATAAGCAAGAAGTTCCTAGATCCCCACCATTTCCCTGGTAGTATCGCGCTCAACTTATTGCTCCACGCAGCGGTCATGTTTGTCAAAGTTCCTGTTTCAGAGATATAGAGTTTAGAAAGGTTGTAAACACAATTAAAGTAGCTTCCTCAACTGCAGTTGCCTTTTCAGTCTTAGGATTTGAATAAACATTATAATTAAAAAAATTTATAGTTAAGAGCAGCATTATTCATTTTTTCATTGAAATTTGATTGTTCTAGTAAGCATTTAGTTGTCTCTGATGGTTGACCAGATATTTTTGTTCTGTTTGTTAGTGCAGAAATTGGATTGTTTAGATTCTTTTTCTTTTGTCATTATAACAGTGAATATTTTTCCATAAAATGATACCAGAGTTGTGAACTTACAACCATAAGCTAAAAGGGCAAAACCTCTGATTAACAGTAGATTACTTCATATTGTAAATTTATTTGCCTTATTAACACAAATACTAACATAAGTTTAAATTTATTTTTTTCCATGTAATAAGTAATATCTAATAAGTAAAAACTACAGCATTAATTTTTAATAATCAACATTGTAACATACTTTTTTGATACAAGTGTAAATTTTCTCAGTCAGTTTTCAAGTCAGTATGTTCTATCAATCTATTCTAATATTGTAAAGATGATTACATAGCATATACCACTTATCCACATATTAAAATGTATTTATAATGTACAATACTAGTGAAAACAAAAGAAAAAATACAATTCTTTTCTATAAACTCTTTTATCAAGATTAGAAATAATTTGATAATTGTGATTTTCTTGAGTGCATACTTTCATCTTTTCTAACTTGAGCATATATATAACCTCTCATCAGAGCAATATATCATCTTTATTAAATTTTTTTATATTTATGATATTTCTCCCTATAACATTATAATTATTTATTTATAACAATAATAAACATAATATTAAAAAAATACATACCTTTACAGTTGGTATTTTGCTTGATATTAAATTTCTTTAAAAAATCGACTGCGGGCGAATTTATTTTATGACCATGGAATATATTTTATGACCATGGAAAATATTTTAAATATGACCATGGAAAATATTTTAAATATGACCATGGAAAATATTTTATGACCATGGAAAATATTTTATGACCATGGAAAATATTTTATGACCATGGAAAATATTTTAAATATGGAAATGACCATGGAAAATATTTTAAAGGATCTAAATCAGTAAAAGCTTTTTTCATGTTAAATCCAGATTCTGCTACAGGGTATAAAGCCTAAATTAAAAAAAAAAACTTTCTATAATGCATACTCTTCTTGCGATATATTTCAAAAAGTGTAGGTTTCTACAAGCCTACACAGCATTTGCAATCTATGGATTAATTGTCTATAATTTTGTACCTTATTTTCGATATTCCATTTTTAGGATATTTCTTTGATTTTTGAAGTGATGTATGGAGATTTATGTGATTCAGTCAAGTGATATAAACCCAGAACTCGACTAGAAAGACGATAATTTTTATCAACATAATGAAAAGTAGCACTTAAATAGGTTTCTTGGGAAATTGAAATCCAAATATTGTGTGATCAAAACATATGATAAATCGTTCATATCTTTCTGTACATTAGACTTTACTTTTTCATACTTAAAACAACATAGTTCATTTTTTTCCAAATCTAAATCATAAAGGACATCTAGTTCTTGTTTTTTGATATTACGATTTGATGGTCCAAATATTTTATAAACAGATTTTAGATGCAAAAATATGTTGCTTGTGGAAATAAAACTTAATTAAATATTATTAATATATTGTATTTTGTAAGTTTTTTCCTGTTAAGAACTGCTTTGTAAGTTGTGCTGCGAAATAGTTTCGTTTTGAAAGAAATAAAACCTTCAAATATTAGTATATTCCAATACTGAAAGCGAAAGAGCTCGTTTCGAAAGTTCAACTTCCAAAAGTGCTACTTTCGTATGTAGCAAAATAGTTTTATTTATTAATTCGACTTGTGAAAGGCTACATTTTGTAAGTTGCATTTGCGCAATGAATATTGACGGGTTTTTTTTTTTTTGTAAAATTCGGTATGACAAAAAAAAATTTCTGACTTTTATTTTTCCAAAATTGTACGAAATCTTCTGTTTAACAACTCTAGTTTAAGAGAAGTTTTATGATTTGTGTGCAACATAGTTACAGAGTGTGAGCTTGTGCTTTGTATTTTTAGGCTGTTAACTGCATATTGGCGTCATCTTTACCTGAGGATTTTCTCAAAGAGTGCTTGCTAAAGATTGTAAATAGTTTATCTGGTATACGTAAGTTTAACATATTTTATTGATGTATAATATTTCTCAATCAAAATTTGTGTTACATTAAAAAAAAAATAATATTAATATGCAGCTATGCATAAAAGTTTAATTAAGATGGTAATTTTAATCACTTTTCAGGATTCTTTCGATTAAAAAAAATTGAATTGAATTTTTTTCTATTTTTAAAAGAACATTCAATAGCTATACAATTAACATTAATAAAATAGTTAAAAAAAAAATAATTAAAAAAAATTATTTGTATAAAATGAGTTGCATTAAAGTTTAATCGAGTTTAAAAAACAAATTTAATCGAGTTAAGGTTTAAAACATAAAGAATTAAAAAAAAAAAAAATTATTTTTCAAAGTATCCTCCTTTGGCTCGATAGCAAATAAGAACTTGACTCTGCATTGATTTGACATATTTCATGCACATCTCATGCACAACCACAAAAACACTTGACAACTGCGACATTTATTAACAACAATGTTGCAAGTAATAGTAACATGGTAGTTAAAAAATGTGAATTGAATTGAATCTAGAATTGAATTGAACTATAATAAAATAAAATTTATTATGAATATTGAATCTTGCAGTTACAATTGATGTTGCAAAAAAATCATTTGCAATAGTTTGCTTTAGATGAATATGTTTATTATACCAGTTGGTAAATTAGTTTTAGTTTATAGTTTAAACTTTTGAACAAGATCTCTACTTTTTTTTTTTTTACTCAGTGAAGTTAGGCCATGTTCTTTTGGTATTTTTGTGACATGTTGTATACAAGTGCATTAATATCTACTTTTGATTAAAAAAAAGACAACCCTAGCATTTTTTATATTTTAAAGAGTAGATATACAAATATGCAAAAAGAAAAGGATCTCACTTCTGCTACAGCATGGGGCTTTCAGAAGTTGGTGAACTTTAACTCAGATAAAACTCAAATTTTTTTAGCTTATTGTTATTGCAACAATCTAGATCTTCCTATCTTTATGAATGGTACTGTACTTGATGAGTCTTCGACCCTTCGTCTTCTAGGATCAACTCTTAGTTCTTCAAATGATTTAGACAAGGTGCAAAAATGCATTGTAAACAAAGTTGGACCTGCACTTACAGCCAACCTTCAACCATTGTCACATCTTTGTAATGTTGTAATAATGTAAGCTTCTCTTGTGCTATCTACTAAAATTCATTTTTAGTTGATCGCAGTTCATGTTACTCATCATACAATTAAGTCTCATCCTTTTGCTGTGACTTTTCCTATGTGCTCCAACAATTATTATTTGTCTATTTTTTTTCCTCAAACATCAGTACTTTGGAATTCCCTCCCTTCTTCTTGTTTTCCTGATTCGTATAATTTTCAAGCTATGAAGGGAGTGTTCTACCTGTTCTCTGAACACTGTGTAACAATAACAGTAAAACAGCTATATTATTTTTTTCAAGAAAAACCAAAAACAGCAAATAGCTGTTTTTTAAATGACTGTTTATACTATTTTTTCATTTCTTTTTTTAATTGAAATTAAAATGACAAAAAATTAAAAACTTGAACTTTTTTCATACGTCTGCTGTAGCAATTAAATTTGTTTGCAATATTATAATGAGTTTTAACTTCATAAAGTTTCATTCAAACCTGAAAATGTAAGAATTTTTGATTCACACATTTTCAAATAAAAGTTTCAAACAAAAAATGTTAAAATTGCTAAAAAAAAAAGTTTCGTTGACCTGTTTTTAAAACAATTTAATAGTTTTTTAACAATTAAATTGTTTTAAAAACAATTTAATAAATAGTATTTAGATAATAACTTTTTAGATAAGCTTTAATAAATATTTTTAGTTTAGTAGTTGGCATTTTTTCTAAAAAAACAACTAATCACACAGGCTAGTACTAATAGTCTGGACATACACAATAAAATGGAAAAATCCAATTACAAAAGAGTTGTAAGGACTGTGTCAGCGTTGTAGCAAAATAATAAAATGCATCATGGGAAATTCTAAAACTATCTTAAAAAATCACTTAAAAAGAATTTGTTTAGAAAAGGCAACAGTATTGATCATATTACAGATAAGAGAGCAAGTGAGAAGAGACAAAAAATTTGATTTGGTTGGACTCTGATTTGGCTATCGATGGCATTATGATTTGATCCATAACCAGAAATTAATACAACTCAGGTCAATAATTTGAGATGGATTCAAACTCCCTTCTAACGATAGTAATGTAATGAAAATACTGCACATAGGTTTTAATGAAAAGCAAAAAAAATAAAAACTATACATTTAAAAGTAGCCAATAAAGTAAAATTTAGACTGTCAATGAGGTTACTACTTTGAAGATTAAGATATTTTGGAGTTAATATCCATGATAAATTAAAAAAATGCAAAAATATGCATCTAAGTACTAGACTGAGCTGTCAAGACCAAGTGAAATAAGGAAAAATTTAGGAAGAGAGAAAGGATAAAATAATTTAAAATGTATATTGAACATATGTTCAGAACAAAAACAAAGATACTATAGTAAAGCATGTAGTAAAAAATAATGATAATAATTTTGACACCGCGCATGTAATAAAAATGTAATAAAAGCAAAACAAGACACATAAGTAACCATAAATCTACATTAAATACAAATGTTTAACATATTTAAAATAAAAATACATATGCATAGATATATCAGTATTTAAAATGAGTAAATAAAAAACATAGGAGGTATAAGATAAAGAAAAAACATTGCTTTTGTGTAATCATAATTTATGTAGTGGTGGTAATAAACTTTTCCTCAGAATCGCATTTAATATTACCAGCATTTCGAAGAGGCTCAGCACCAATACCTAGTTTATCCTATTAGATAAACATCATTGCTATTTATGCAATCTTTATGCAATAATAATTTATGCAATAATTTATCATAGTTCTATTAAGCACTAAGAGTTCTCATTTATAATTTATTCAAATTTTTTAAAGTTAAAAGACAGTAAAACAGTTATTAATAGCTGTTTTTAAAAATTTTTTAACAGTAAAACAGCTGTTTTTTAAAAACTAAAGAAACATATTTTGCTGCACCACTACTGTATTCATCGAACCAGTGTGTTTAATTGTAATTGTCTAAACCTAAAAAACACAATTAAAGAAAATAAAATTTTCGATATTTTGCATATAATCACATGTGTAAATAAATTATGAAAAGACCTTTATTAGATTTAATTTTATTTGATATAACACATTATGTTTAGGGTTCTCTAATAAAATACTTAATTTATGATAATGATTTTAAGTTGTTAGTTATTATGATAATTATGTTGTATAATTCATTAATTATAATTATGATTGTAAAAATTTAATTTCTTTTTTTAGTAAATGCCAATGACATAGAAAAAGACCTTGAGTTTGAATCCGAACGGCGTAAACTTTTACAGTTTTGCAATGCACAGCTTCATTTGATTGATACATATATAATGATTAATAATGTCGATCTCTCAGTTCAAGATTTTTCATCTGAGTTTAATGCAGATGATGGCGAGAGCAAGGATCTTGAAACTATTTTACATTTAACTTCCTCTGAGTGTAAAAAGTTTGTCCATCTTCTAAATAGCTATAAAGATCTTTGCATAGATACAAAAAAAAATTTATTTAATGAAGAGATTAGTGTTGCTTCATTTCTAAGTTGCTTTCATATTAACATGAAAGAGTTTTTTTGTAAAGAGAATCATACTTCACAAGCTTTGCCCAATATTGATGTAAAAGATGATTTAAACATTAATTTGACTATTCAACTTGGTAAGTGAATACATGCATGTGTGTATGTATGTAGTATGTATGTATGTATGCATGTATGTATGTATGTATGTATGTATGTATGTATGTATGTATGTATGTATGTATGTATGTATGTATGTATTTGTGTATGTATCTATCTATGTATGTATATATGTATGTATGTATGCATTTGTGTATGTATGTATGTATGTATATATGTATGTATGTATGTATGTATATATGTATGTATGTATGTATGTATGTATGTATGTATGTATGTATGTATGTATGTATGTATGTATGTATTTGTGTATGTATGTATGTATGTATGTATGTATGTATGTATGTATGTATGTATGTATGTATCTATGTATCTATGTATCTATGTATCTATGTATCTATGTATGTATGTATGTATGTACGTATGTATGTATGTATCTATGTATGTACGTATGTATGTAAATACAATAATAATAATCTTTTTATTATCTAAAAATATATAACATTTAATTTTTTAATTTTTTAGGTACATTCTTGTTCAAGGTTTGTCATCAATTTTTTACAATTAAAAAGAAATATAATGATTTTGGCATCTTTTTTAAATCTTGACTTTAAATCTATGTTTATCCATAGTCAGTTTTGCTGACAAAACTCAATTTTTTGAAATATCCTGTTTAAAATAATAAAATAATTAAGTACTAATTTTATTTACGAAAATACTTTTTAATTATATTGACATTAACAACATTTTAGAATGCTATTGATGGTTTATTACCTGTAAGCGAACTGTCAATGATTTTTGAAGCTTCGAAGTTACCTCCAAAGCAAATTCTGGTATTTGCATTTAAATTATTTATATTGCATTCGTAATATTTATCTAGTTTAGTTATATATTTTAATGTATATTAATTTCTTTTTTTTTTTTTTCTTTCAATACGGTTAGCAATTATGTGTTATTTAAAGTTATTTAACATTACTGATACATATTATATTATCACTTATATATGTTAAATATCACAAAATCCAAATTTAAGTAATTAAAATATTTAAGTTGAAAGTTTGTTAAGAATTGTAATAGGTAATAAAATTAAATTAAATGTATAATAATTTTAAAATTTTAATAAATTTTAATAATTATTGTTCTAGTTAATTATTTTATTTATCCAAAGAAATAGTTTATTGAAATAATTAGTTAAATAATTTTTCGGATTAAACTTCAGAATGAATTAAATAACATCTAACATTTAAAAAAAGTAAGTTGTAAAGTTCATTAGGGTGTGTAAATTTTAGGCTTTTTTAAAAAAAAATGGTTTAATAAAATTTGGGATATAAGTAAAAGCTGCAAAATTTTATAGAGAATCCAAATCTGTTTAAATTTTTTAAAACAGAAAAATATTTACTTTAGTGATTAGCCTTTTTCATGAAAGTATAAACTGTTTTTGTTTTCTTTTAAACAGAATAACAACATTAGGGGAAAGCAGGTAAGATTCGTACACTTTTTACACTAAATCGTATAAAGCAAAAATAATTGCTATTTTAAAATGATTTAAATGCTGCTGAGTAACCTAAAGATGGCTTTAATAATATTGTAGTTTAGTCTTGAAAAAAGCTAATAAGACAGTACTATGATGTCTTTTGCAAAAAAATGGAGATCGTACGAATGCACCCAAATGCGGGGTAGCTTCGTTCAGTTTTTTGTTTGGTACTTTATTGCTAAGTTAAAAATATATTTATTGAAAATAAACATTTATTAAGATTAAAATTGAAACAAAATAAATATTAAACATAATAAGAATAAAGTTATATATCCTATATGCAGAGAATACATATTTTCTCAAAAGCTTTTCTAATTTCTCCTAGAAATCAGTTACAGCTGTCTGTTTAAATGCGAAAAAAAGGCTGTGCGGGTTTTTTCATACATATTTACAGTATGAATCCTCCCCATTTATCATTGTACAAATGTACCCCAACCATATCAACTAACATATAAATTCAAAATAAAAATAACGGATAAGGTTATTAGAAAACTATTGATTAGATATTAATATTAGACACTTAAACAAAAAGCATAATAAATTATTTCATTAATTGGATGAAAAATTATTACAAACAAATGTTTTCAAAATTATTTGTAAAATTACTTTAGCAGTGCAAAAACATGTATCGACTTGTTCCAATGACGATTAGGATAGCACTACCACGGCACTAAGATGTTAGCCTTTGTGCATGAGTGGTCTTCACACACACATAAATATAAATGTGTCAAAACAAAGAGTGGTCTAGATATGCCTACTGTACAAATGCTCCTGCTGTACGAATCCTACCTGCTCTCCTCTACCATTCAATATTTTCCATAAAAAATAAACAGGCTTTTAAACAAAACAAAGTTACATTTAGTTTATAAAAAGTTTATTAAACTTAATATGTATAAAATATTTAAAAAAATTTTGTAATAAATGCGTAAAAGAATTTTAAATTTCTCAAAAAGGTTTACTAAAACATATTTTTTTAAACTTAATGATGGTCAGTAAATTATTTTTTAATTGCCACAATAAGTAAACAACTTTTAACTGTATGTTGTTAAGTATAAATTTAAGAACTTTTACTCGATTGCTTCTAATATTAAAAAAAAAAAAAATTATTTCTAAACAATTAAATATTTTCTTAAAATATTTTATAACTTGGAGGAATGATGGCACCCAAAACAAGAATAATAATTTCCAAGAAAAATTGGAAGTAAGAGTTAATCCTAGAAGATGAAGGGTAGATGACTCATTGACTTCATTATCATTTATAAATAAAGGAAGATCTAAATTATTGCGATAGCTATTGGCTGAAAAAACTTGGGTTTTATCTGAATTAAAGTTCACCAGCCACTGTGAGTCCCATGCTGCAGCAGAAGTGAGATTGTTTTCAAGCTAAAATGCCCCCTCCAATAATTAATGTAAATTAAAAAGAGTATAGGGCCAATAGAACCTTGAGGAACCCATAAAATTAAAGGTTATGAAGAAGAGTGCTGTCCGACGAGGACAACTTTTATACTACAATTGGATAGGAAGGATTCAATAATCTTAAAGATTTTACCTGATACATTGTAAGAAAAAAATTTATGGAGAAGACCAGCATGCTAAACTTTATCAAAAGCTTTAGAAATGTCAAGAGTGATAGCCTTAACCTCTCCACCTCTATCTAATGCATGATAAAATCTATTGCTTATTACTGTTAGCAAATCAGCTGTAGAATGAGAAGATCGAAATCCATATTGATGATCAGAAAGTTATTAGGTTCAAGATGAGAGATTAAGTGTTTTTTAATTAAAAACTCAAAAATCTTGCTTATGATAGGAAGAAGACTAATGGGACAGTAGTTGATGAGTCAGATCGCTTTCCAGAATTTTTGAAAATAGAGATAACAGATGCTGCATTCCAGCAGGCTGGAAAACAAAATTCTGATAAGCACTTGTTAAATAGTTTTGAAAGTATAGACAACTGCTCCAGAGAACACTTCTGCAAGAGTATAACCGGTATGTTATCCATATCACAAGCAATAGAAGAGTCTAAGAAGGAAATCATTTTAGATACAGAAACTGGAGTGATATGAATGTCAAGCAACGGATCAACCTGTTTGTCGGCTATGTCAGGTAGAACGCAACTTGTGGAATTGAGAGGTGATATTGATGAAAAGTTCTTAGCAAACAATTCAGCTTTGTCTTTAGGTGAGGTGACAAAATCTAAACCATACAAGAGAGGTGGAATAACAGATTTGCCCTTATTATTGATACTGTTAAAGGTTCTCCAGAAGTCACAAGAGCCCAATTTTAGAGATGAAATACAAGATTTCATGACCTGAGAGTAGTAGGCTTTGGGATTAGACAAAACCTTTTTACAATGGTTTCTAGTATTAGTAAACAGGCGTCTGTTTTCTGGAGAATTGTTTTGCTGATAGATATGGAAGTAATGGTTTTGATTAATAATTGCAGCAGCACAATGTTAGGAAAACCGTGGAGAAAAGCAAGACTTGAAATTGTTGAGTGAAATCTGAGATGTTACATAAGAAGCACATTATTCAGCAAGAAGACAAACTATTTCAATCAAGAACCATCACGCAAAAAATCACAGAAAGAGCCTCAGTCAGGTTTAAGATAGTTATAAGAGGTACGATGATAGGGGGATTCAGATGATGAAGAATAATGAAACAATAGTTTTAGAGAGATCAAACTGAGTATAGAAGATAAATGATTCAGGTTGTGTAGAAAGCGAATTAGTAAGTTGACTATTGTGTTAGAGGTTGGAATTGACATAAGTTGTGGGCCTTAATGCCTACAGAGTCACTGACACTAGAGCCAAGCCATTCAGTGTGATAAGCATTAAAGTCACCAACAACAACGATATTGGCTGATGGATAAAGAGAGAGTGCTTGGTCGGAAATAATATCCAAAAGAGTGCAGTCTTGAGATGAAGGAGAGCAATATAGAGCAAAGAGAAAGGGATTAGAGTGAAGTGTGCTAAATGAAAGCACATGAAAGAATAGTCCGTGGATTTAAACCTGGTTTTTCAACAAATGGGTGAATTCTTGTAAATGTAAATGCCTATGCCAAGCATGTGACTATTGGAGTCTTTACGAATTAAAGGAAGATAACCATCAACACTAAGATCACAAGATGAGACAGCCTAATTCACAATGAGCAAGTAGGTCTGGTGAACTTTGCAAGAGATAAGATTCAACAGAAAAAAAAAACCACCAATATTAATAAATGAAAGGTTTAGAGAACTTGGTGATATTGATAGTTTTTTTGTGTTATATAATTTATTGGTACTTTAGTTATTTTTAAATTTGTTAAAGAACTTGACTCCAAGCATAGATTGCACTCAGTACACTATTTAATAGTCTAAGCAATTGCCTCATTACATAATAAACCCTAAGCTGTAACAAAAGGCTCCAAATGTGGCCTCGACAATGATCAGCAAAAGTACGAACAGGAACACCATCCATGCACAACATGGCACTGTTAGTGCTCTGATGTTTTACAGCTGTTGATCGAATCAGCCTCTCTGAGAGCTACCACAGAGTTCAGAAAACCTGGCTACCAGCGGGCCTCAGAACTGTACCCTCATTAATAATAGAATGAGTTGCCTAGTCATAAAAACAGAGAAACAAGCAAAATCCATGCAATGAGTCAATAAGATCCAACATTTAACATCCGAAACTGGAAACAATGTGTTTCCAGTTTCGGAAACACATTGTTTGTGAAAGCTTAATAGGTGATCATCTGCGCCAGCCTAATAGGTGAAGAAGGGGTGCAGGACTGATGTTTCAGTTGCCTATAAGTCTTTTGCCTTCTACAACACAGTAGCCAGTTGTGTTTAACAATTTCCCAAGATGAGTATTTTTTATCAAAACACCATTTTGAGCCTTTACTTAACCATGAGTCCCAAGGCATGGGGTGTTTTACGTCAGAGTTTGCTTCTCCTAGTCTTTGCCTAAAAAAGTGTATCCTACAAGGCAGCAGAGTGTACTGGGTTACATGTTACCAGTAGCAGGATAACCTGATCTGAAATGATATGGGGTGTCTGCACATGCTACAGCTGCAATTGCTACAGTAACACTTAATGATGCAGAATTAATAACATTTGATGATAAAAATTTAGTTATTGACCATAGTAGAGCGCAAGAAAAAATTATCTCTGATCTTAGTAAGGATTTTGACAAAATAGCAAAAAGTGGAGAAGTGAAATGCATATTTTTTGATGAGAGATTTGATCAAATCAAACTTATATCACTTTACTCCTGAGAAAGCAACAAAAAGTATTAAACTTATTATAGCAAATAAAATTGTTGAATGGTTGACTGAGGGAGGTATTAACAAGCCTTTATTGGCTGTTGGTGGAGACTCTACAAATATAAACACTGGTTGGGAGGGTGGAGTCATCAAACATATAGAAATAAAATTAGGAAAAAAACTTGTTTGGCTTATATGTCAATTGAGTTGCCACTTAATAACCAATTTAGACATGTCAAACAAAATCTAACAATAAATGGTCTGGTGTTATTAAGTCCATGCTTGATCTGGCTAATAAAAGATGGTCAAACAAAATCTAACAATAAATGGTCTCGTGTTATTGAGTCCATGCTTGATCTGGCTAATAAAAGATGGTCAAACAAAATCTAACAATAAATGGTCTGGTGTTATTGAGTCCATGCTTGGTCTGGCTAATAAAAGATGGTCAAACAAAATCTAACAATAAATGGTCTGGTGTTATTGAGTCCATGCTTGATCTGGCTACAGATCTAGATATAAATCCAGTATTTGAAACTATTAAAATTGGCAATCCACTTATTTCTCTTAATGATAAAATAATAAATGACTTGTCTGCAGATCAACTTTATGGTTATAAAGTTGTTTGTGCCATTAAGTATGGTATTTTACCACCAAAATTTATTTTATTATCATAGATGAGTTTTTTCCGGAAAATCCCGGAATTCCGGAAATTCACATAAAACACCTTTAATTTTTGCAGCAATTTCCGGATGTTTTTTGATATTGATTTAAAAAAAAATTAATATATTTTTACATAAAATTTTACATACGACAACTTTTGCATTTAAACAAATATGTTTTCTATAATTAAAATTTTCACAAGATCGATTTTCGTAACAATTTTTTTTCTTCATTTTTTTTGCTTTTTAATTCATTCAAACTTTTTCGAATATTAGAAATTCCTTTTTGTAAAAAATTAATTAATATAAATTCCGTTTTAAAATAATCTAAATTCCGTTTGTCAGTTAAATGCGATCAATTTTTAATAAAACAATTTTCCGGGATTTTCCGGGATTATCAAATAAAAAAAATTTCCGGGATTTTCATTAAATCAAATACTCATCTATGTATTATAAATTAGTCCTGTTTCACATTCAAGGTGGAAATGAAGATCTACAAAAAGGTGATTCTTCTCCTAGACCAAGAAAATCTCCTGTTCTGAACTTAAATGCTGAAAAATTGGTAGACCTGATAGCATTGGAGTCATCGGTTTATGAACCAGTCTTAACTACCTCTCTAACAACTTCTGAAATTAATGTGTTTTTATCAAACCCTAAGCAGGTGCCAATATGGCCATTTCATGGACAATCTGTTGAATGTTATCTGTTGAATGTTGCGTAAAGCAAGTTACTGAAGCTTCAAGTAGGATGTACACTCATAAAAAGAGAGAGGGATTTGTCCAAACTTAAAAGGCGAGTAGAAAGTTAACGCCTAAAAATAATAGTAAACAAGACCTTGAAAGTTTGACACAAATGTTTTTGTATTAAATTTATCATATTTATTTAAATAATTCAGTTTTTTTTTTTTTTTAAATATCTCGCTGTATTTCTAACATCTTTTTCAATGTATGTTAAATAGAAACTGTATTTAAAATATATTGAAAAATATTTTAATACTTATAAATTAATCTCAATCTAATTTCAGTTTTAAATTAACATGTATATTAAAATTTAAGTTCATAGTCTAATTTTAAAATAAAAAATTTTTGTTGAAATTTTATACAAATTCTAAAATAAAATATATTCATATCAAAATTAGTTTTAATCAACATTTATATCCCAGCTGATTTTTATCAAATAAAATAAAAAAGAACTTATTAATGTTCAAGTAAAAACTGGGGTTTTTTGAGAAACCAGGTCAAACTTTTATAGAAATATAAAAAGTCAAATCGCTTAAAGAAAAAAAATTTTTAGTTTAAATTTTAAAGCCGTATTTGGATTCTCCTTGAAGCTCTGCAACTTTTAGTAACTCCTTAATTTTTTTTTTTTGAAAATAATCCAAAATTTACACATCCTAATAGTTCAACACTTTGTCACAAGTTGTATTGAAGTATTACTTTTAGACTTTATTGATCGACTTCTGTCTGGAAGGAAATATTGTGTTACATCTTTCAACTATTTATATATTACGTTGCCTTGTATCGTCTATATGCTCTTTGAAAGGTAAACATGTTGCTAAATATTTTTGAGTTAATTAATTTTTATTCTTTTTTATTTTTTTATAAATTTTATGCTATTCTTTTTAAGTTATAAGTAGTGATTTTAAAAAAAAATAAATAGTTCTAAGAAAAAATACCATAAATCAAAACTTTCTTGACTTAATGATGATAATATACATTTAAATGTAGCAATAGTGAATAAATAAAACTTGATAAGTTTTAATAAATTTAATAAGTTTTGTTTAAAACTAATTATCTGTTGTTTTCTTTTGTATTGACATTTAAAAAAGTTTAAAAGGATTTTTATAAATTTAATTTTCTTCAAAATAGTAGTTTTATTAAATACTTTTTAAAAAGAATATGTTTTAAACCTCATCACTTATTGTTTTTTATTACTTTTTGTAATATTGTTATTATTACTTATTGTTATTATCAGGAGCTATTCTAGACCATTTTCGCCCACATTTTTTTCCTAAAATAGGTCTTGATTATATAGGGTCAAATCATTATATTTCAACCAATGGCCTGTGGGGCACCATCTCAGATTTTGCTAATTTTTACCTTTCATTTTCTACATTATGTAGTTAAATTTGAAATTTCATACTTCCAAGTGCAACGGTTCAGAAAATATAGCTTTATAAACATTCCACAGTGGCCCCCTCGATTTAAGAATTGTAAAAACAGACTACTTTTAAGTGTCATAACTTTTTTCTATCTTTCAACAAGTGGCTCATTTTTTCTAGAAGTGTTTTCTGTTCTGTGTTAAAAATACTGCTTTTTGTTAACTTGTATCATATTAGAAAAAAATTATAGCCTCCTCAACTTAAAAAAAATTATTGAAAAATTATTTATTCATCAACAAGCTGCTGTTATATGCAACAAATAGGCAAAAAATAAGCAGCTTGTTGCAGTTTAGAACTGAAAACAGCTGGCAGGTATAACATCTATTATCTTTCCAGGAAAAAAATCCACCAAAATAATGTGCTAATATGCAATCAGCAATATTGATTTCAACATTTACTGGCTTTTGAGTATTTTCCAGCATGTGAAAAGTAGTATTTTTAGAAAGTATCTTCCAGCAAGTATTTTCAGCAAGTATTTTCCAGCATGTGAAAAATGTCAAATATTTCTCATTGATGTTGTATAAGCTTCTAAACATCGAGATAGAGGTGAGAAACAATAATATGAGCGGGCTCTTTTGATAGCAGAAACAATTCTCAAATTGTTTAGCAAGTACTTTATTAGTGTTAACAGGTGTTTCGTTTTCAGAAATGAAGATAAATCTAAAAACAAATTTTAACATAAATCTTATAATCCAAGAACATAATTTTTAAAATGCATTTAGTAAGCCCTTGTTTTAAAGTACCATTTTCTCTAAAATTTTCCTTATAAAAAGATATAAAACAAACTTTAAACTTTTATAGCAAAAAGTTTAAAGTTTGTTTTATATCTAAGAATAATATAAGCTATTTTCTTTACTTTAGTTAAAAGTCTATAACGATATTGGATACAAGACATCCATTGTTTGAAAAAACTCAGAAAATTCATGTGCACTTAGACAAGAAAGAACAATACCTGGCATTTTTACAATTTTCTTTAGCAACTAAAAACATGTCCTTTGGTGCCAAAATTTGATTTCCGATTAGCCTTTGTAGGGACAGGTTATCAATTACTATTTTCACTGTACCACCTACTTCATCACATGCACTTTTTTTATGTACAGTGCAGAAAAAATGCCAATCTGTTTTCAGCTCGTAGTCTTTTTCATGAAAACAAAGGTTTTTCAAATTAAATCTATGATACATTAGAAAAAATTATAATCAAAAAATATTAAAAAAATAAATTTGATAAAATAATTAATATCCTATTTATTCTATAGCAAATTTGAAAAACATTTGAATAACCAAATATGGTTTGTTTAATATTGGTTTATCAGACTTTTTTGTCATCAAGGTTTTTAACTATTGTTTCTAAGGAACATCTATTAGTTTTCAACCATTGATTATAAGTTTTTATTTACATTTTTTATTACATTTTTATTACATTTTTAGATATATTTCAATTCTAAACTGCAACAAGCTGTTTATTTTTTGCCTATTTGTTGCATATAATAGTAGCTGGTTGATGAATAGAAAACTACTACAGTTAACTTCATTTTGGCTTATTTTAGCATTTTTCAATTTATTTTTTGAAGTTGAGGAGGCTATATTTTTTTTTCTAATATGATACAAGTTAATAAAAAGCAGTATTTTTAACACAGAACTACCCAGGAAACACTTCTAGAAAAATGAGTCACTTTTTGAAAGATAGAAAAAAGTTATGACACTTTAAAGTAGTCTGTTTTTACAATTCTTAAATCGAGGGGGACCACTGCACAGTGTATATAAAGTGTATATATTTTCTGAACCGATAATATAATTAATAATAATAATCTGAGCAAGATAATAATTAACAGGCGACTTAAAAGTTTGCAAATCAGGATAACAAGATAAAGGAAGTGAATTTTAAAGAACTGATGTTCGAGAAAAAAAACTAGAAGAATAATTGTTGGAGCTTAAAAGACTTAGGAATAGTCACAGTATAAAGATTAGACTTAATTGAATGAAGAGTAATACAAGAATGAATTTTAGTAGGTGGCACAAAAGATGCTAGCTCTTAAGTACCTGATTCATTTGCTAAAAAATATTGCATTTTATTGATAATTTATAAGCATCAAACATTGTTTTGATACAGTATTTTGAGCTATAGCATATACCAGTTTGTGTTTTTAGAGGTTTTAGATATCAAGCTTCTTCTAAGGAGCTGTAAAAAACTAAAAAAAAAATCTCTTTGCTACAAAACCAAGCTTTGTTTTTAGTTAAACAAAATATTACAACATGTCAAATGAATGACATTTACTAAAGAGTTTTGAATTTATGTTTGTCATTCTGAATTTATGTTTTTCATACTGCAAAATATCAACGTTATTAATATTCTGCATAAATCTTTGTTCTCCTGGTAGAAGTTGTCTAAGTGCTTCAGAAAATGGTTTTTAAATAATTGGAAAATATTTATAATACAAAGTCCAATTATTAAAGATTTTTTAACCTGCATATGTAATATTTGACTCAATTTTTCTCATGTCATTCAATTATTAAAGATTTCTTAACCTACATATCTTTTATGACTACTGTCTTTCGTACTTTTTTAATGTTTTGTTCTTTGTTACTTTCTTAAAATATTCATCTATGTTAAAGAAAATAAATTTTTAAATTATTGATTATTGCACATATTTAGGTAATTATTGTTAATTGATTATTGTGTTACAGATTTGTTATTGCAGATATTTTATCTATTGATGTGGATGTTTAATGATTACAGATATTTGATTCTAACCTGTTGCTAAGCCACAAAGCTGTTAGGCTAAAAGTTTTAGTTTTCAGTTACTTAATTTTTAAATAAACTTTTATCATTTTTTTTATAGAGAATTTAAACTTTTTTTATTCCAGCAGTAATGGTAAAGAATGTTGTTCATATAGTATTTCTTGTTAGTAGTTTCAGAATTTCACTTTTTCTCTCTCTTTCTCTCTCTCTCTCTCTCTATACATACATATATATATATATATATATATATATATATATATATATATATATATATATATATATATATATATATATATATATATATATATATATATATATATATATATATGTATATATATATATATATATATATATATATATATATATATATATATATATATATATATATATATATATATATATATATATATATATATACAGTGCTCTAAGTGAAGAAAAAAAAGTAATGAGATGGTATTTGGTAAATTAAAGATACCATCTCAACTAATCATTGATATATAGAGATTTATAAAAAGGTGGCAAAATGGTTTATAATTTATAAAAACGTGACAGGATGGCATCCCGCCACATCTCACCCCACTATGACCACTGTATGTATATATATATATATATATATATATATATATATATATATATATATATATATATATATATATATATATATATATATATATATGGTCAATTCCATACATCACGCACGTCACTTTTCAGATGTATATAAGCTCAAATTTTATAATAAAAAAATATTTTTAATAAAAATAAATAAACATGACTTTTACTACATAAAAACATAAATTCTTAATTTTAAGTATGTAAAACATTTAATTTATACATATAATGATGGTCATGCACGTCACTTGAATTGGACAAGTCATAATTTCATCATCAAAAAACACTCTTTTCCTGAGCCGTTATAAACACTATCTGTGTCATTTTTAAACGCAATATACTTGAATCTATAACAAAACGGAAAATGTTAAAAAAGACACCAGAAAGTGGTAATACATTTTCCAAAATTGTGTACTTCACGCACATCACATTTTTATCTATCACGCATGTCACATTTCAGATAAAAATGCAATATAATTTATTGTTACAGTTATAATTAATTGTTTGCAAGTCTTATGTTATTATGATATTCTATATAACATTAGTTAAATACCATAGAAATTGAAAAAGAAAACAAAAAAGACCCAAACTATTAGTTAACTTTTTACTCATAATGTCCTGATTTTGTGGCATTGACAATATATATATATATATATATATATATACATATATATATATATATATATATATATATATATATATATATATATATATATATATATATATATATATATATATATATATATATATATATATATATATATATATATATATATATATATATATATATATATATATATATAGCATTACAAACTCACAAATATAGATAGAAACATAGATATGTAGGTAGGTAAATTGATTGATTAATTTATTGATATAAATTTAAATTTTTAGGTGGTGCTGAAGTTCCAGCAGTAGAACTGTCAGTTGGAAGTATTTGTCAATGGTGGCAGTGTATCAGAGATAAACTTTCTAAATCAATCATGATTGGTCACAGTTTAGTTCTTGGTTATATTTGTCGTTCAGTTGCAATTGAACTTAATCTCTCAGCTCGAAAAATAAAGGTAAAGTTTTGCAATTTTTTAAATTAGCCTGTTAATTTAAAAAAATGCTGATTTAAATAAATTTTATGATTATCCTAATTCAACTAAGTTGTATAATTATGCTTGTTTAAGTTACATAATTATGTTTATTTTATTTATATAGTTGATATTTATATAATTTGAGTTAGTTATATAAGTACAGTTCTTTAAACAAATGGTATAATTGAATCAGTGAGTTCAAAAAAGGTCTTTGAGTCAGGTAACTGAGTCAATTTTTACAATTTTTAAAAAGCTTAAAATCAACACATAAACTATGCAATCAAAGTATATAATGGTTTATAGTGCTTGATTGGGTTTGTTATGGATGAAAAGATCAAAATGGTCATTTTTTAACTTAAGTACTTTTTTTCAACTCACCAATTCAATTAAGCTGTATAGTCAATATAAAGTATAGGCAACTAATTATATAATATAAATCAATTAAAAGTTTAAAAAAAAGTTTATTTAATAAAAAAAAAAATTAAAAAAAAAAATTGTAAATAGATTACAGATGAGAGTGATATTACAAGCAATGGATGGGAGGCTGTAACTATGGAAATTGAACACTGGAATTTGCTTATAGCTCAATTAGAAAGTCTTGTGGAGCTTAATTGCTTTGTTCATTTGAATCATGCAAACATGATTTTATCTAATAAAGATAATTTGTCTTGTAAAGTCGGAAACAATCATAAAAGTACAAAAGTTTCATCAAGAAATCCAATATATTCTGTTCAAGGTTTGAGATAAAAAAATTTTGTCTTTATTTATTATTAAAGTTTTGATATTTTGGTTTTATATGTAGACTGTGAATTTATATGTAGATTGGGGTTAATTGGAAGCAGCCATAAATCTTATTGTAACTTTGTTATCTTCCACCAGAAATCATATGGAACCTTCTTAAAGCTTCTCTACCTTATATGGAACCTTTCCTAAACCTAAATCAAATAGAACCTTCCTCTTTTTTTTTTCTCCCTAAAAAAGGTTTAAAAACAATTTATACTTGAACAAGTTGTACCCAGTGCACATCAAACGTTGCTATTTGATGCTACTTCAACAAATTTGCACCCTGTGCACACACCACCACCCAGGGGTGCTACTTCAACATACTTGCACCCTGTATACACACCACCACCCAGGTGTAAAAAAAGCATTTTTTTAACTCTAAATAAAAAAATTTTTATAATGAATTTATAATAAACTTGAACCTGTTACCCAAATTCATATTCTTTAAGACTAGATTATTTACAAAAAGGTTTATAAGAAAATATTTTCAAAAAATATGCCATAAATGAGTCAACTAGCATGATTCTCTTCATTTATAATTTAAACTGTAATTGATTATATATGAATGATTGTATACATATATATGAATATAGGCATGTTTGTGTCTTTTTTTATGTATATTATTATATATTATTTTATCAAATTAGTTAAAAGTTAAATAGTTCAATTTTTTTAATATTTTAAATAAAGTTATTTGATTCTAATATTACATCTTTCTTCTTCAAATATTTCACTAACTGTAAATTTTCACTAAGTCGTGTCACTAAGTCAAAAATAAATTTTTCGTTAATTTTGTACATTTTTTGTTTGTTTGTTTGTTAAATCTTTTAATTTCTAATATTTTTTTTTATTATTTTTTAATAATTATTTATTTTGTGGTTGCTAGGCATTCTTGATGCAGGTTTTGGTTCTATTGCTCAAGTAGTAGCTGATTGCTTGGTTACTCAAGGTGTTCCTGGGCCATGTCTTGGTAATACTAACAATACCAACAAAAAAATCAAATCAAATGAAATAGAAGATATACCTGAAATAGTTAGAGAAGAAGATTCTGTTTTACAAAGTATTTTTAATAAAAAAAGTTTTAGTTCAAAAAATAAAGTAAATAATAAAAAATGTACATAAATAAAAAAAATATATTTTTTAAAAAATTACTTATATCGTTTAGGTTTAGTGGTCTTAAGAGAAACATTTCCTTACAGTCTTGAGAAAGATGTGCTCTGGTTGCATTGTGCATGGGAGGCTGTAATGATTTGGAAAGAAGATGTTGAGGTTGTTTTTTTGTTGTTGTTGTTGTTGTTTTGTTTGAATTTTTAAATGTTTTTATCTCCTGAATGATATATATTACAGTTTCTTTAATTTTTTGTAGGGGGTTTCAATGCTTTCTAGTGCACTTGTTCACTTGAATTGCATTAATAATGCTTGTTTACAAAAAGGTTGTCTTTTTTGAACATTAGTAATAGATGATAATGTTGTTTTTGAAAGACTATTTAAGAGAGATTTAACAAGAATACATCTTATAGGGCTGGCTGTAATGTTATGGAAAGCTGTGTTTAAAGAAAGTGTTCAGTCAGCACTGGATCTTGTTGAAAAAGTTTATAAGTTTTATATTTATGTTACATTTTAATGACTTTAAAAATTAATATAGTTGATATACTAAATAATATGAACTTTATTGTTTAAAGTTTGACATGTTTGATATTTTCGTGATATTTAAAGTTTGAGATATATGTTTTCATGTAACATATGCTATATTTTATAGGTTGGTAAAGCACCAAAAGATAGATTGTGCAAAAAGGTATTTTTACTTTTAAAGTTCAGTTAAATAAATAAAAAAACAGTTTAAAATTACCAATCAATAGGGTATACATTAAATAATAGGTTATAGATTTTCATCTACATTATAAAATCAAATGAAGCAGGATAATCAAACATCCATTTTGACTCCTAAATAAAAGAAGGCTTCTAAATACATAGCAAAGTATATGAAGGGTTTATTCAACTTAGTAGATTAAAAAACTTAGATATTTATAATTAAACAACACTTTTTTAAATTATTATTTATATTTTCTATGTTTATATACTACTTTATTAATACATCTACTTATATATATATATATATATATATATATATATATATATATATATATATATATATATATATATATATATATATATATATATATATATATATAAATCAAAATTACACTAACAAACTATGTTTGGGTGTGTATGTATTTATAAATGCTGTATTTATTAACTGATTTAGGAAAGTAAATTGAAATCATTATAACTTTCATGGGCATCTATGGGTAAGCAGAGGCAATTTTCACCATAGAAGAGTGCATTAAATTTGTATATTGCTTTGTTTTTTGATCATATTCTGGTCTTTGCTTTGTGAGCATATTCTGGTCTTATCGTGCCTGAGTATTGAAAGCAAGCATTTTAGCAGGATACAAAATAAATGGCATCCATTAAACATGATAAGCTACTACTGGGTGTCACCCAATGCATTTTCTTTTAGGCCTTACACCAAAAAGTATCAAAATTTATTTAGCACATTGCTGATAGTCAGCACAAGATAGCAAGTTCTTTCTATTTTTGTTAAAAAAGTATTCTTTTCAGTGATTGTATAGATTGCTTTGCATGGATATGCAAACTTCTGTTATTGAATTTTAAAGATCTAAACCCAGATTTTGTGTTTATAACCAGCCAAATCCAATTACTGTTGAATAAAGTTGATGTTTTCAGGACTTGATGTTGGACCAAGCAATTTTTTGTGAACTCAATATTCTTTCATATATGTGATTTCAACAAGCCAGTAGAAATAACTTTATGCTGCCCTAAACAAGTTATATTTATTATTATTGGAATTCCAAGAACCTTTTTTTCTTAAAAGTCTGGCATGTCATATACCAGAAAAGCTAATCTTTTCCTGCTTTACATGTTTAGATTTTTTTTTCTAAAAAAACTCTACTTTAATTATTATTTAAAGTAACCCTACTTTAATTATTGCTCCCATGAATGCTGAATGAATGAATGCTGCTTGCTGAGTTGAAAGTACTTGTTATTGCTATTCCCTCACAAAATGTTGCATTTCATTAAAGGATATTTTTATACAGCCCTATGTTCAATGTGATATTTTAAAACATTTAAGAGGAAAGAATCCTATTCATAATAGGATTCTTTCCTCTTAAATGTTTTAAAATATCACATTGAACAACAGTTAAAAAGAAAGTAAATTAAAGTAAAATTAAGATTAAAAGATTTCTAAACACTTATACTTTAAATTGAACATCTTTCATTTTCTAATCCTAGTTTTGTTTTAAAGTATAAATGGCATCGTCATATCAAAAAGTTAAAAAAGATATTTCAAAAAGTAGGAAAATTTATCCTAGTTTTGTGTTTTCAAAGATTTGTGCATTGTAAAATTAGACTTTTGAGCTTTGCTTTGGAATTATCGACAATGCTGAAATGCTTCTCAGTCTTCAAATGTATTGTATGACATCATCATTTTTGTTTTGGGTCTAAAAAACAATGTAGCTAAAAACATCCCTATTTGTAGACAGCTGTCATCCCTTTTTTGGGGTAAAATCTTGTTATATAAAACTCTCCCACTATTTACACACACATGTTTGATATATTATTACATTAAAAAGATAATTGTTATGCAGTTTTTATGCCTGTGTAAAATGCAGCCTAGAGAACCTGGCTTGCCTCAAATCCCAATTATGTTTTAATTCAACCCTGACTGGAAATAAGTGTCACTTGATTTGTCACATTTCGTAATGACTTTTCGATATCATTATGAAATGTGTATATATATATATATATTTGTATATATTTGTGTATATATATATATATATATATATATATATATATATATATATATATATATATATATATATATATATATATATATGTATATATATATATACACTTAAATATATATATATATATATATATATATATATATATATATATATATATATATATATATTCATTTATACACACACATGTTATTTTTTTTTAGACAGTTGGACTTGGTTATAAATCCTTAATAAGTTTTTTAAATGCTGCTAAAATTCTCCTAGAAAAGTTAATAGAAGTATGGTTTTTGAATTTTTTTTTTTTTTTTTAATTTTGATAAAAATACTTCTTGTAAATTATTTGTAATTTTATTGCTTTCAATTATATTAGATTGAGGGTTTGGATGATACACCGTTACACTTTGAAACAGAGTATATATGGAAAAGAAATAAGAGGTTTATTGTTTTTAAGAAATTTTACTGTGGAATTTTAATGAATTTAAAAAAAAAAAAAGAATTTTAATGAAATCAATTTAAGTTAAAACTTTATGATGTTGTTGTTTTTTGATTTTTATTTTTAATTTTATTTATCATTGATTTATTGTTATTATTTTTATTTTAATGGTGTCAAATGAGGGTGTCAAGATTTTTTGGAAATATTTCAAATTAATTATTTAGTGTATGTGACTCTGGTTGGTTAGTTAATTTTATTGACAAACAAGCATAACTTATTTGATGTTAGTATGAGCACATATGTGTTTAATGTTTTACTGCCATACAGTAATAATGCTTTGACATGCCATAATGCTCAGAATGCATGGGGTGTATAACTTTCTTTTATGAGGTGTATACAACTGAGGTTATATGCATAAATTGTATAACTTTTTTTTTTTTATCCTGAATTATCTTTTTCTGTTAAAACAAATATAGTTCTCTGAACTTGACCTAGAAGCATCTTTTGACTTTGCCTCTTTTATCTTTTGCCTCATTAACTCACTAGCTCTAGACAATCCTCATGGCCATTTTCCTTGTCTTTTTTTATATGTATATAAATGAACTCTAGCAGAATGAAATTTAGCAGCCATGGCACAGTGGTAGCGCACTTGCCTCAGGAACATTAGATCTGTGGTTCAAACCCCACCCCTGGACAAGTTTTGCAACATCGCTTGGGAAGGAGGCGTGAACTTCCTATTAAATGCTCTTCCGCGGTGCTCTGTGATAAGACGTAAGGACTTCTTGAGGCACCTAAAATCAACATTAAAAAAAAAAATTTCAACAAGGCTGCAACCAACCATTATTTAAATTGGAAGTTAACAGAAAAAAAAGTGTAATGAATAGCATGGAAGTAGTTGACAAATTATTAAAAAGAATGAAAATGATTCAGGAAGGTGAGATGGTTGGGATGATTTAGGAAGATGGGATAGAATCCCATAGCACCAATATTCAAGGAAAAAAATATCTAACAAAGATTTTGAGAATTAAAAATAGTTACAGTAAATAGACTGTGTTAAAAAGTCTCACAAAATTGAGTTTTGTTTGATAAAATAAGTGATGATAATTAGCAAACTAATTAAACTAATTATGCTAATTATGATGAAACAGAGTTTTATCATAATTAGCATAATTAGCCTAATAATTAGATTGATTTCAACGTATTGATTTCAATATATTGATTTCAATATATTGATTTTAGCATATTGATTTCAACATATTGATTTTAGCATACTGATTTTAGCATATTGATTTCAACATATTGATTTCAACATATTGATTTCAACATATTGATTTCAACATATTGATTTTGACGTATTGATTTAAACATATTGATTTCAACATATTGATTTCAACATATTGATTTCAACATATTGATTTCAACATATTGATTTCAACATATTGATTTCAACATATTGATTTCAACATATTGATTTCAACATATTGATTTTGACGTATTGATTTAAACATATTGATTTCAACATATTGATTTCAACATATTGATTTTTACATATTGATTTCAACATATTGATTTCAACATATTGATTTCAACATATTGATTGTCAGAGAGTTTTTAGACTCGAGATAACAGAAATTTGTTAATCAAGGGTTAATCAAAGACTTTGTTAACAGTCTTTTTTTAACTAACAAAACATTTTTTTTACACAAACCTGTCATTGCATATTTTTATTATTGAAGTTCTCTTTACCATAATTGAAAAATTACAATAACTGAAATTTTTTATGATTGCGGATTTAATATTATTTTATAAATCATTTTTTAATAAGTATTATCTTTCGTAGTCTTGAGATGCATTGTCAAAGTAAACTGTCAAAGTTGCTTAGAATGGTATCATATAGAATAATACGTAAGATGTTGAGAATTGACCACAAAACCCTAGTAAATTGGAAATAAATTTTTTTTTAAACTAAATGCGATAGTTATAAATGGAATATAAACTGATTTTTAAACTTTGATGATAGTAATTATAAAATACTAGTATAATTATTATTTTTTCCTAAACACCAATACTGAAGAAGTATGTGAAAAAACGAAAAGCACTTTTAAAAATGACATATACCCAAAAGGCATTAGCAATACCCAAAAGGCATTAGCAAACAAAATTTAGATGAGTTCTAGTTTCTATATCTTAAACAGTCAGCTGGCATTCACTTGTCTCAGACTGTAACTCATTAGACACAATATGATATGGTAAAAGATTACTGCATTTGTCCAACAACATCTGTAGAGTAGTCCAAGATCACTTTTGTCCTAGATCATTTTTATTTTATTTTTACTCCAACATACCTGTCCAGCATACCTGTCCAACATACCTGTCCAACATACCTGTCCAATATCATTGGAAATTCAATGACCATTAACAACTTCTTTAGTAAGATGTTACTACATCTGGTAATTTTTTTCCAAGTCCAATAACATCTGGAATAATTTCTTTCAGAACTACATCTGGAAAAAACTATACATGAAACTACATCTGGTTAAAATAATGCATTTATATTTAATACTTCTTTCTGCAAGTAACTAAATCTGAAAAAAACCATATGTGAAAATACATCTGTTTAATATAATGCATTATAATTTATTAATTTCATAAAATCCTGTAGTTATATTTAATATAATTGAAAAGATGTAACTACGTCTATAGACTTTACAGATTTAGTTATTCTTAACATAATTGAAAAGATGTAACTGCATCTGTAGAATTCACAGATGTAGTTATTCTTAACATAATGGAAAAAAATTAAATAAATCTGTAGTAATTATATACTTTTTACACAGATTTTATTAGATATCAATAAAGTTTCAGATGTTGTTAGACAGATGTTATCACACCTCAGTGTACTTACAGATGTTGTTGGACAGATGTTATTATATCTCAGTGTACTAGAAGTTTGTACACTGAAATATATATTTTTGTATCTCCCCTAATATATTAAATTTATTAAAACTTATTATAATTTATTATAGTTTATTAAATATTTTTTTTTTAGTACTCAACGATCGATCGTTGAACAAGCTCTTGATGAACCATCATGCAATCCTGTTATGCTAGAACATTTGTGGTGTGTTGTTACTGTGCTCTATTTAACTATGCAAGGATGTCTGCGAGGTGTGAAACCTCGGTCTTTGTTTGATACTAAGGTAAAAATAAAATTAGTTTTATTAGTCCCAATAAAATATGAGTAAACCTCAATAATTTTTTTTCAAAATATTTTCAGGGTAAACATGCTATGACACAGCATCTTCATGCTACACCTGTCCTTTCCACACACTTTGATGATAAAATTGTTGCAGCTCGTCAACAGGTACATGAATTTTTTAAGCTTGAATTAAATTTATGGCAATAAATTGGTTACAGCAGTTCAAAAAGAAAAAATTAAAAAGTACTAAGTTCATGAAGGTTACATCTGAGAAATTCTTTTCTTGAAGGTGGAATCAAGTTAAAACACATCTTGTATTTACAGCATGTTTTTTAACTTGAATTTACGTTTTGTATTTACAACATGTGAATACAACATGATTGTTTTTATTATTATGTTATATTCACAACATGTAAATAGACTATCAATTTACTATATTAACTATCACTTCCTTATGGTAGTAGTGGTCACATTAAAAATAAACATATTAACATGCTAAAAGATTAAAAGTTCTAAAAGGTGAACAACCAAGGTTTATGACTTTTTACTCTTATTTATCATTAAGTTGAGAGTTTAGTATCAAAGAACTTTACTTAGCCCCAAATAAGGATTAGTTTCATGTGACCAGGGCAAAATTCGTAATCATGAACAGGGCAAAGAGTGGTTCACTAAATTGAAATCATTAAGCAATAAATTGCATTTCTATTGTTTGCATTTTAAAATCAACAACTCTGAATAATTTTTATGTTATTATAATGTTTTATTATTAATATGGAGCAAGCAATCCTCGATATAATAAAACATTTATTTTTTCCTGTCTACATTTATTAAATTGTTTTCTTTTATCTGAATAAAACACATGTTTTGACTTGGTTGACTTTTGAAACTAATATTTTATTCGAGCACAACAGGTGTTTTGACTTGGTTGCATTTTTTTAAACCAGTTTGTATACTTATCTTACATATGACTTGCTACTTACATTTTTTTTTTTTTTTTTTTTTTAACATCTTTACTTCCAACAAGGCTGCAAGCAACCACTATAAGAGTTGGAAGTTACTGGAAGAGAAAAGACTAAATCTGTAGAGCAAGATAACGATTGACTGATTACTTAAAAGATTGCAAATTATATGAGTCAGGAAAGCAAGATGAAGGAAGCGAATTCCAAAGAACTGATGTTCGAAGAAAAAAACTAGAAGAATAAGAGTTTTTGAAGCACTTAGGAACAGTCACAGAAAAAGGATGAGACTTAATTGAATGGCGAGTAACATGAGAATGAATTTTAGTAGATGGCACAAGGGACGCTAGCTCTTTAGAGCAGTGCCCATTATAGTATTTGTAGAAAAGAGAAAGAGAAGCAACATTACGACGATGTGACAAAGGTTGGAGATTGGCTGCCAGAGCAGGTCCAACTATGTTTAAAATTCGTTTTTGCACCTTGTCTAAAAGAGAAAGAGCATCATTAGAAGATCCGCCCCAGATGTGGCAACAGTATTCCATACAGGGACGGATTTGAGATTTATAGAGATAGAGAATAGAATCTGGAGTAAGAAAGTGTCGAGCTCGATAAAGAGATGCAACCTTAGCAGATGCTAATTTTGCAATGGATTTGATATACGGTTTAAAAGAAAGATCAGAAGTAAGAGTTAATCCTAGAAGATGAATGGTAGATGACTCATCTAGTACATTACCATTCATAAATATAGGAAGATCTAAATTATTACGATAACGATTGGCCGAATAAAATTGAGTTTTATCTGAATTAAAGTTCACCAGCCACTGTGACCCCCATGCTGTAGCAGAAGTGAGATCCTTTTCAAGCTCAGATACCCCCTCCAAGCAATCAGAGAGTGTAGGCTTCTTATCATGACAAGAGTAAATGGTAGTGTCGTCAGCGAGTAATGCCACCTTAGATGTGAGAATATCTGGAAGATCGTTAATGTAAATTAAAAAGAGTATAGGGCCAAGGATTGAACCTTGAGGAACCCCTGAAGTTACAGGATGTGAAGAAGAGTGTTGTCCATCGAGGACAACTTTTATACTACGATTGGAAAGAAAGGCTACATTCGTTTGCTACATTTCTTGTAGCAAATGAATATAATAGTTTGTCATGTTTCTACGTCATTTTTGTGATGTTTTTATGTCAATTTTGTAATGTTTCTACGTCATTATTGTGATGTTTCTACGTCAGAATTGAAGAGTTGATTTTTCTTCATATGTGGTTGAAAACCATTCTATAAACTAAGATTTTTGTGTAGTGTTACAAATAATTAACTTTTGATGTTTTAGTGAAGAGATCCAAATAATAATTAAGTTTTGATGCTTTAGTGAAGTGATCCAAGTAATAACTAAGCTTTGATGCTTTAGTGAAGTGATCCAAGTAATAACTAAGCTTTGATGCTTTAGTGAAGTGATCCAAGTAATAACTAAGCTTTGATGCTTTAGTGAAGTGATCCAAGTAATAACTAAGCTTTGATGCTTTAGTGAAGTGATCCAAGTAATAACTAAGCTTTGATGCTTTAGTGAAGTGATCCAAGTAATAACTAAGCTTTTATGCTTTAGTGAAGTGATCCAAGTAATAACTAAGCTTTGATGCTTTAGTGAAGTAATAGATGTATCCATCTAATAATTTAATATCAATCATTAGGTGGTTCTAATGTGTTCAAGTTTATTCAGTTTAAATGATGGAAGTGAAAAAATTGCATAAATAAGAAGCGAAAAACAGTTACAGCTTATATAAAATGACAAGAATGTTACAACAGTCATCTTATAGTTGCTTAGCTGCATGGTTGCTAAGTAGGCTAGATAAATATTTTCCTTGTTTTAATTGACAATTAATTTAAGCGTAGAAATTTTTTATATTTAAAGCCAGAATAGTTAGGTAGTTAAAAATAAATAATAGAAATTATTTTAACATTAGTTTAAATATTTTATTAGTATTTTATTTGTTAAATGATTTATTTTTATTAGAGTTATCAATTAAAATATATTAAAATGTAATAAATTATAATAACATTACAAATTATAATAATAAATCAAATATAAATTAAAATATATCTATCTACTCTTCAATTTTTTAAGTTTTGTCTGAATTATGTGACATCTGCAATAAAAAATCATTTGGATTCGACATTCGAGGATGATGCTTTAAAAAATAATAATTCTGATTTACTGTGGAATATAGATATTGTCTTGCAGCTTGGAAAAAAATTTCAAGTCAAAGAGGATGATTTACGTTGTCATATTGCATGTGATTTATATGCCTCTGGATTTGATAACGATGCAAAGGAGGTGTTTTTTTTTACCTTTTACTTTTTATAGAAAATAAGTTTAATAATAACTTTTGTTGACAATATGAAATCAACCTGGCTAATCGTAATTGGTAAGAAATTATTTTGAATTTAACTAAGCTTGAATATGCGTTTGTATACCACTTATCTTTTAATAGATGGTTCTATATATACAAGATATGGATATGTTTTCTGCAAAGGTTATGGATGTAATTGGTCTGCGATTGGCAAGATGTCTGTTACAAGATGACGTTAGCAAAAATATTGACATTTACAGCAGGTTACCTACAACAATATACTCATGGCTGCAATCTATTGTTATATCGGTATATTTTATTGTGTTATGTATTGCATCATTAATAAATCTAGTTTAAAAAGAAATTCTCGGATTCAAACTTTTTTTTTTTTTATTACCATAAGAAATTGTAAATAGATTTTTTTTTCTTATATCTGTTTTAGGATAAATCAACATTTCGCGCTAGTCAATCTTCACTATTAAGTACATATGAAATTCTTCAATTTCTTCATTCGAATGCAACGTCTAGAAATTCCAAACACTCGAAGCTGATCAATGACCTTATTGAATGCTTACAGTGTTTAGTTTAGTTTGAAATTCAACTAATATTCTAGAATAGATTTTTACATAATATTTTATATTTAATTGTAACCAATATTTTTAAAGTATAATATTTATACATAAAACATAAAAATGTACCTAAAATGTTTTTCTTTAATGACTTAGGCCGCATTTGTTAAAGTAGATGTTTTGCGTTAATACGTACGCTGCTCTTTTTTAGAAGTTTTCAGTTGAGTTCGAGTTTTTTATAACCCACTACTTCCATTAGGTTGATATGAGATAGAAACCGTTGAATACGAATTAAATTTTTTAAAACATCCCTACGGGCATTTGTTTTTCAAAGTTACGTTCTAAATGTCTTTTAAATGTTTTTTAAACATCTTTTAAACGTCCTTTACGCAAGAATGTTTAGAAGACGTTTAAAAGACATTTAAAATACATTTAGAACGTAACTTTTAAAAACAAATGCCCGCTGGGATGTTTTGCCCTATCTTTTAAGTGCCAAATCAATATTTAGATTTCAAATTTTATCAGTAAATTTATTTTGATAAAATCAGAGTAAATTTAATTTATAAGTTATATAAATATTAGTTGAAATTTATCTTTCGTCAAAAATCTAGAAGTCCAGGAGTAAAACTCATAACTGTAGGAAAAAAATCTTATAAAGTTGAAACTTTGCCTAGTGATTCCCTAAGGTATATGGATCACGTGAAAAAAATGCCCCATGATTCGTAACAGGAGAACCCCTTTTTTCAAAATGACTATACGCAAATAGTTTATAGCATTTTTTATGCTGAACAACTCTTTAAAAAACATTAGGGTCTTAAAATAAAAGGGTGACTAGTTAACTAATAAATAAATGCTATATAGGGAAAACTGGTGCAAAATGGGGTACTGAGGCAAAATGTTTTTTTGCAAATAGACATTGTGATGAGCGTGGAAATAACTAAGTAGTAATTGATTTAGAATTATCATTTGACAAAATGTCACCATCGGTTGTGCTATTTTAAAATTTAAGTAAAGTTTCTCTAACTATATAAACATGACTTTAAATGATTCGATGTAATTTAATTGTGTAATATTAAACGATGCAGAATTTTATTATTTCATGTGAAATGCTGAAGCTAATATTGCACTTAACTAATATAGTAGTGAGTATTGTTTAAACTTTTAATTTTTAAAATGTGTGACCTTTGCTTAGATGTAGTACTGTTTTTAGCAATATGCAACCAATGGGGTATGAAATATGGTACATAATGGGATATTCCCCATTTTACCCCAAGTGTTTTTTAAAAAAATTAGACTAATTACAGTCATTACGGGTAACTTTGAACGGTTTGCGCTAGGTTTATCTCTACAAAAATTGTTTTACTAACTAGATAACAAATATTTTTACATAAAGGGTGTTCTGATGATCTCTTATTTCTAGTTTGATATCATTTTTTTAAATTTGCTAGATATTATGTAAAAAAAACATTGTTCAAGTAGGCGTTCAAAGTTACCCTCGCATTTCGGGTAACTTTGAACACTATTAAACTGAATGTCAATTTTAATCTTTTAAATCTAAAAAGTTGTTTAAATTTCTTATTAGTTTAAATAAATTTTTTTTAAAAATCTAGTTAAACTATTTCGAAAATAAACAAACAAGTTTTTCAATAAAATATTTCTAAAATAAACAAACAAGTTTTTCAATAAAATATTTCGAGAATAAACAAACAAGTTTTTTTAATTCACAAAATAATTTTTAAGGTTATAAAAGAAAAAATAATTAAGACATTATTTTTATATAATTCTCCACAAATAAACACCATTGACAATAAAACTAAATATCACAGTGTTACATTCTTTTAGTCTTGAGTTACAACTAACTCTTTTACAAAATAATCATGATCAAGGAAAACATGTACATAGTGATTGTTTATTTGCTCCAATGAAAAAACTGCATCATTTTGAGATACAGGTAAAACTTGTTCATTGTCTTCAATAACTTGATTAACATTTACGATGCCTGAACTTTGTAAAATATTAAGTTTTTTGTTTATTTTCATAACCATATTATTTGATCCAAGTGGTCTTCCTCTTTTCTTTGCTCGAATATTATCTTGACTTTTTTTTTATTGTCTCTTTCCTTATAGTATGCTTCTACCTCAGTGGCTGATACACTTTTCCCTGCTGTTATTGGTAACTTACATTTTTTGCTTACTTCATAATTAAGATGAATATAATCAACATAATTCCTAAACGATTCTCCAATATTGAGTTGAATATCTATATTTGTAAAACTGGGTAATTTGGAGAGAGCTTGTCTGGTTACCAACATTAAGAGTAGATTTAATGAGTTGCGTAAACAAATTTTTTGGCAGGTTATTAACCTTTTTTCCTCTGGATGTTTTACGCCATTGATTAAGAACTGACCTCCAATTAGCTTTTAAACTCGAGAAATATCCAACATCTAAAGGTTGTAAAAGGTGCGTGGAATTGGGTACCAAACATATAAATGTTATATTATGCTTTTCACATTTATTTAAGGCTTTTAAAGACATATGAGCACTTAAATTATCGCAAATCAGAATTTTTTTACCTTATTTATAATATTTGGAACAAAGTGATTTAACAGTCACTCTTCAAATATTTGAATTTCCATCCAGCCACTGCAAGAAGTTGCCATTCTTGAAGTTTTTTTTTCCAGGGTTTTTTTTTCCATATTGTAAATGTTATCTAGCGTTACTCCATTTAATTCCTTCTCTAGATTTTGAAAAAATAATTTTATTTGACAATAATTAATCTGTGCACGTTTCCTTGAAATACAATGAGATTTTTTTTAATGAGGATGCCTGTCAAGATAAAGTTTACACCACTCCCAACCTGGTCGGTTATCTTTAAACTGTTGTATATTTTTTCCACTATCATCCAGATAGATTTTGACAATACTTTTAAAATCATTAATTCCAATTGGTATACCTTTGTCACTTAAATAAAGTAAGTGATTTTCAAAACAAAGTTCCTCATCAATGCTAAGGGCAATAGGGCGTCCTACTGATTTACAGTGTTTACTTTTTAGCTTATAAAATAATGTTGCTTTAGGTACTTTATAAATTTTAGAAGCTTCACCAATCGACATTTTTTCTAATTTAATTTTGGCTAAAGCCTCTTGAAGTGTAGAATTGGTGTAATTAGATTAAGTGCCATATTTTCTTGTGCCAGGATGAGTTGTCGAACATTTTCTTGGCATTTTATGAATGCTAAAAATATTAAGATGATTTATGTTATTAATGAAAATTATTTAATTAATCGCATATTTGCTATTAATAAAATATATTATTAAATCTATCAAGATAGCCATAAATATCAAAAATTAATATACTAGTAATAGATATTATAATTTTTGATATTTATACCATATATCATTATATAATAAAAATACTATAATAGAAAGATGCCTATTATTTATTATGTATTATTGCAATGTTACTCAGACAGCAAAAAAAGCATTTTTGGAAAACATTGATTGTCTAAAGTTACCCTGAATTTGGTTATATTTTAGCTAAGTGGAAATAAATATCCTTTTTGTAGCAAAAAACATGTTAAATCCTATTATTTTGAGTTTGTATTAAAGTTCGAAAAATAATTCAATAAAATACTTAAAAATCTATTCAGATAATTACAATATAATACCAAATATTCTAAATTGAAAAACACACGATGTTATCACCACATTCGACTGTGTAACTGGAAATGGAGGAAAAACATTATTTTTGAGAAATAAAATTTAATTTTCTTTGGTCAAACTTTTGTAAAAAAAGATAATTCATCATATTATTCTTTGTTTAAGCAACAGGCAAAGAAAATACCAAAGATAAAATAATTTAAAAACATTTACACGTTTAGTTCAATGTTACCCGCAAATTCAAAGTTACCCAGAATGACTGTATATATGACATTTTTATAAAAATAAAATAATTTTTTATCCTGAATACATTTGTGCTGCACATAACATAACTTCTAATAAGTGCTCAATGTTCTTAAAGAACAGAGTATTAATAAATTAGTAAAAACACTTATCTAATTTTTTCTTCATGTTGAAAAGGTCTTCTTGGGGCACCTATATAAAATTAAAAAAAAAAAAAAAAAAGAATCGTTTATTGTTTGTTTAAGAAAATTTTATTCAATATTTAGGGGCCAAAATAAGCTCCTAGATTCTACTTATTTTAGATGGGCATAAATCTTACACTAAAAGTATTGAACTGATTAACATTGCGAGAGAGAGTAGTGTAATTCTTAGGTGTTATCCTCCTCATTGCACACATCGAATGCAGCCCTTAGATTTGGTTTTTATGAAGCCACTTAGCACTTATGACCACAATATCAGGAAATGGTTAAGAACAAATCCTGGTTGCGTGGTCACTCAATTTCAAATAGCTGCCCTTTATGGTTCAGCCCACCTGGAAGCTGCTACAATTACAACTGTTATTAACGGCTTTCAGAAAGCAGACATATGGCCAGTTAATAGAAATGTTTTCTCCAAAGTAGACTTTTTGAGAGCAGAAATTACTGATACTAATTTCATTAAAAAAACTCTGTTGCTGACACAGGTGACATGATTGTTACTAGCCCCCTCTGTGCTTCTCTCAGCAATCCATCGGTACAATCTAAATGTTTCTACCGTCCGTAAAATTTATGCCGCCGTGGCGTTGTGGTTAGAGTGCTTGCTTTATAAGCAGGAGATCCAGGTTCGAAACGAGCTTTGGACATATTTCGCGTTACGGTAAGGAAGGAGGCGTGAATTTTCTGGTTAAATGCTTTTCCGCGGTGCTTTGTGACAAGACCACTTCTTGGAGCACCTAAAAAACAAAAAGAAAAAAAAAAAACAAAGGAAATTGCTTCTACAAGCCAATCCACTTTTTCTAGCATTTTAACCAATTAAAATGTTGACGATGAAGACAGAAACATTTTAAAATGTTTTCCTAATTCTTAAATCCAGAAATTTATTTTTTTAAATAAACGATTTTATTTTGTTTTTATTAAATGTGACAAATGATCTTTTTAATGAAAGTTTTTTTAAAACATTCAAACAAAAAAAAATACCTAGTGTATAATTTATAAAATTTATTAGTTAAATAACTTGCTTCCCTCCAGTGGGCACG